TCTGACCTTTTGAAGAAAATATCCGGATCAACGTCCTCTAACGTGTTCAGAATTTTAATAATTTCAATGAGATCTGCCCTGTTATGCCGGGTTTGTAGTGTTGTTAGCCTTGTGGCCTTCAATCGTTCTTGATACAATAGATGACTTAGCTCTGGGATGACTTGTTGCCCAGTATTGCATCTTCTCCAGAGCAGCTATGTCCTTCTGAAAATGAGGTCTCCATGTATGGATACTGTAATCTAAGTGATCTAAATGACCAGAGATTTATACAGTTGAACCATTACCTTCTTTTCCTTATTGTCAAAAGTATGCCTGATTATCCCAAGAGTTTGGTTAGCTTTTCTGACTGCTGCACACCCCTGTTGCACAACTTTTATTGAGTGTGCATCTAGTTGTGCTTGCGAGGGTTGAGTTCTGCTCTTTTGGCCCGCCTCTCGACTGTCAATCAACTACTGTATTACTAACTACTAAGTTTTTTCTAAGTTGAGTGGTTGATCTTGACTCCAAGGGCCCTTTCGTCATCAATTTGATGTAATGTAATGCTATTAATATGGTAGTCATGGCATGGGTTGTTATGCCCCACATGCATGGTCTTGCATTTGTCGATAATAAAAAGCATTTGCCAGTTTTCTGACCATTTGTGGAGTTCATGTAAACCTCTTTGTAAGGCATTAATATTGTTATCATTTCCCACTTTACAATAAATCTTTGTATCATCTGGAAATTTGATGATGTGGTTTGTAATATTCTTGTCTATGTCATTGATGTATATGACAAAAAAAGATAGGTCCCAAAATGGACCCATGTGGCACCCCACTTACCACATTTCTCCATTCAGATTCGTTTCCATTTAGCACAACCCAACCCTAGTGTATTCTAATATATGTAGAGTACTTCAATATGTGTAGCGCATATTGGGTCGAAGATACAGTTGAACATCTTGGAATTGATAAAAGTTTTTGTAGGCACCTGACGTAAAATTAAAAATCTCAGTGGAGATCCGCGTTTGTTTCCTGAATTTACCTCAGGGCCACTAATACTCTAGTGGCTTCAATAAGGATAGGAAGCCGGCGGCTTATCAAAGGTTCCCCCATATGCCCTGATGATCTTTACCAGGTGGATTTAACAATTGTACAGAATTTTTTCATTTATGGCTTTGGCAGGTAGGTGGTTCCATAGGTTTATAACCCTGTGGATGAAAAAGCATCTCCTGTTCTCAGTCCTACATTGTGGCTTGTTGAGCTTGAATATTTTATTATTTCTCATTAATATTGTAATATTAACTCATCGCTGGTGTAAATATTTTACCAGAAGAGTTGAATAAGACTTGGAATATGTACTGTACATTTACTTTACATTTTACTTTTTCATGTCATTGTGGTATTAAAGTGTGATATGACAAAATAAATACAGTACTGAATGTGGAATAAAAATTATGGAATAAAAAGTAAATTTTATTATGTTTTTATTTTTTTTCATTCTAGTTTTTATTCCATTCTAACTACCACCTGGTAGTTTTATTCCATACCACTCACCTCGTAGAGTTTTATCCCATACCACTACCTCGTTGAGTTTATTCCAGTCGTCTACCACACTGTATATGAATAAGCATGTAATTCATATACACGACCTAAGGTAAATTAGTTCTGAAATATTTGACAATTACTGTACTATAATTACCAATGGAGGATAACTAGACATTAATTAATTTAGTTTTAACAGATCTTTAATGTATTTACCACATTAAATGAAAAATAGATAAAATAAAACTTAAGTTTTGAGAACTGCCTGGTGTTATAAGTGAAGGATGTGCTACACAGGAAATCTTTATCAGGTGGCAGGTCTCGTGATAATGCTGATGACATTACAAAATTGTGTTTTGTAATGTAAGGTTCATAATTGTATACCAGAAACATGTGAACCTAGCCTTACCTACTTTATTGTTGCTGCATTATATAATATGGCATCACATGTGTTGACGTTGTTATTGTATTAGTTTAGGTGGAGTTGTTGTTGTTTCAAGAGCTCTCCATGACCTAACGATCAGAATGTGATATCAGTAAAATATTTTGTAGGATGCAAGTGTGGCATTGTGTTCTCATCGCTTTGATAGAACTGGAAACTTTATTGAAAAATCTGAAATTAGTTTACATTATCATGGAAAATATGTGGGAAACTGAACGTTATTATAGATTGAAAACATTTATGCAAGTGATGAGTTTTAAGTGACAATAATGGTTACTGTACATCATTTTTATTATGCATAAACTAAGAAATAATTATTATAATTTTTGTCTGCAAGATGCAATAAGATTGTAGAACATGTGACATTGATTTTCTGTTTAGAATAACTAAAAGGCTCTGTATCAGTTGATGAGCATAAGGCTTAAGTTATACAGCGCACTCTGTAATTTGTTTTTTATTACTTCATGATGAGTGATGAAACTACAGTACTAAAGACACAGGGACCTTACTTCAGAGGCTTGTGATGTTTCTTGTTCTCAGTACTACAAATAGTACTCCTGAGTACTTGGTGGAATATAAAGAATGAGGGAAATGTCAGCAACAGTACTTTCTTTCTTTCTTTGGAAAAAAATTAGATTTTTGTGTTAGAAGGGCCATTTCTGTGAATTAAACTTTTATATAGAATGTTAGTACTATACTGTACTGTAAGAGCTCAAGAATCCAAATTCCAGTAATCCTTTGGGTAACCTGAATAAATACGAGTAAAAGTTTTTGACTGCTCAACTTGAATAAAAAAAATTGGGTTACTGTACCAAGATTTCTTGTGAATGAAGAAGTTCAATTTTGTTATTTTTGGACTTTCCAGATAAAAATTCAGCTACCTTGAATGTCCTGATAACTTGAATGGGGTGGGGCCCTGTATAATTTGGATTATCGAGCAGAAACAGTATTGGAGTTTTTGACAAATTTATATATCAGTTAATTGTATTCTATGTAAAATATAGCATTTCAAAAGCATAGGTAGTAGCATCATTCACAAGGGCATTACAATCATTATTTTGAATTGTAGTTATGGCAATGTTCTATAACTATGCTTGGGTTGGAATAACCAGTATGTCATCCTGCTTGACTGTTATGATAACTAACAATATTCCGAGACTATAACTCTTACCTTAGGGAGCAACTAAACAAGATAGATAAGAAATGGCTAAGAACTTTAAATATAAGAAGAAAAAAGAATGTGATAGAACATGACATGTAATTTAATTAATTACTGTATATAACATATAATTCCTCTAGTATAAGAAGTAAAGAATCAATGGCATAATAAAAAGAAAATTATTATTATGGAAATAGAATGAGTAAAAAATGGTGAACAAAAACCATGACATGGTGAGAGAAAAGGGGTGAATGATAGTAGAGAATGTATGGCGTGTAGAATGTCACTTAAAGATAAGGATAGTATCTTTTACAAGAAGATAAAAAGGACATTGACTGGTAAATAGGAATGAAGGTATCAATTGGAGGAAAAATTAGCATGAAACTATACAACAGTTGAATGTATGTGGATTGTATGCTTGGTAAGTGGGCAATATTTGAGTGTTGAAGATGTTGGACAAACCCGTTAGTGTTCCACTTTACTACAACAATAGGAGGAGCTGTTAGTTCAGATCTAGATAAACAAACATGTAGGATATCCCTAGCAAAATGTATCATAACAGTATGAAACTATACAAAAATTCCTTGTAAGGGAGAAAGGAAACATTAAGGTAGATACATTATTAATTGTTACATTGATATGCATATTATGTGATATATACAACAGTAGAATTTCATTATTTATAAATGTTATATTATTATGTATTATTACATGTTTGCTGCTTACTGCTGGCCTCATCATTATTTTTTTTATTTTTTTAAGCTGTATTCCTATTTAAAGATTTTTAGGAATTTTATTTACTAACATCAGTGTGCGGTTGCAAGTAGCATACCCATCACGGCACATGATGGGTCACTGTGGCATGCTTAGACATTTTAGAACTGTAGGCATATTCACCAGTAATAGTACTGTAATAAATTGTACTGTAGACACAATGGATTCCTGCTTGAATGGAATGATTAGTCCCAGAACCCTCGGTTCAGGCTGTCTGAGTGCCGCTGAGCACTGCCCCTTTTGTCCACAATCGGTATGTCTTTATTAGGGCTAATAATATAGTAGTAATCGTATAAAGAGTTTTTGGATGCCAGCAAATGCTTCGGGAAAAATATACTTAATAAATAAAATACGTAATTTTTTTTTTTAATTTTTGTGAATGTAAGTTCTCTAGATTTATCTTAATTATCACGTTTAGAATCCTTTTGTGCTTCAAAAATGCTTCAAAATCCATTCATCTGCTTGTTCATTGGACTAGGTTCCATTAGAGTTGGGATCCACTATTATTCTTCGTGCTGTAGATATTGTTGCTTGTCTGCAATGTGAAGGTTGAATCAAATTTACCTCCAAGTAAATTTTAATATAGATTTTAGATTGGACAGATCTTGTACAATGAAAACAAATATTTTTTTAACATTTCTGGACATAAAAAGTTTAATAAATAATAATGGATGATGAACAGATCTGCTAAGCTGAAGATAACACAAAATGGGCTGATATAAACTTAAAATTTTATGCATTGGTAATAGTAAAGGGAATTATTATGCGAGCCTGTTTAGTCAGAAATAGTTTTAAATGATTTACTGGGGTATACAGTATATTGGCATATTATTGTACTGTATCTGTCTTCTGTCCATATCTGTCTTCAGTGTCATCATTTTTTAATTACATTACAGTAATGAATAAAAGGCATACAGTATATTTAAACAAATATTGATTGCAATGTATGCATTGACTGTTTTAGAGGGTTGCTGGAGTTCAGTGAACTTTGTGATTACTGTACAGTACTTATAAAACTGCATACAGACTATGTAAAATTTTGTACTGTTTGTACAATGGTGGTTCTTTGTACGTGATAATTATTGTTTTGTTCTACGCAAAGATGAGGAAGACAAGTTTACACGAGGCTTTCAGTAGGGAAGAGTACTTGCCTGGAGAAAGGTCTGTACGGAGACACACTGTCAGTGTCCCCAGCCGTATTGATGGTAAGTTGGTGTGATATATAAGCTGGTGTAATGCTTTTTGTAGAATAGTAAAGCTCTTGAAAGAATCTAAATGCTCTAATGTAAATAAAAAAAATTCTTCGGTTTACTTCTTGGTGTTGGTGTGTGTGTATGCGCGCGTGTGTATGTATGTATGTATAGAGTAAATTTGTGTGTGAGTATGTGTATATTTGTGTGTACAACCTTCAAGTGAATTGCTGTATTTGGGACCCATAGGCACAAAGAAGAAAGAAAGAAAGGCAGTCCCTGTGGTGTAGTGGTTAAGACATTCGCCTGGTGTTTCGCAAGCGCTTTGTCCTGGGTTCGTATCCTGGCCGGGGGGTGAGGATTTACTGGGTGCAAATCCTTAACTGTAGCCTCTGTTTAATTCAATAGTAAAATGGGCATTTAGTTGTAAAATGATTTTTCGTGGGGTCCCATTCCAGGGAACATAGGATTAAGGACTTGCTTGAAATGCTACACATACTAGTGACTATACAATAATGTAAGAACTCTTGTATATATAAATAAATATATAAATAAATAAATAAATAAAATAAATAAAATAAAATATAGATAAGCACCATTTAAGAGCACATTAAAGGTTCTCATTGAATGTATGAGAATATTCGTTCTACCACTCCAGTTATATTTGATTTAACTCTTTATATAGTGAAGTACTGTATAGTCAGAAATCAAAATGAAAAGGTAAAGGTTGTGATTTTTATTTTTCAATTTTTTTTACAAGATTCTTGAATGTGGGGTTGGAATTGACCAGGAAGCTGGCAGCCCTTTGGTTTTTAGTTGTTTCAGTGAGCTTTGAACTACGATCATTGAAAAAACCTAGAGCTTTTGCCCCAGATTCCAAGGATATGTGATCCTATTGATAAAAAGGGCCATTTTGGTGCATTCCAATTTAAAGGGGGATCCCTGACTTACAGGCATCCAATCTTACAAATGCAATCTTAATTGTATGATTTAATAATCATTGTTTGACTTTCGTACTCGAATATGTGAAAGTTGTAGATCAATATGTGTTGAAATGAAGTCGAGAAAAAATAACCCCCAAAAAACACAAAATATAGGGAAAATTCTAATAATTATAATGATTTAGGGGATATATTTAAGGTATACTTTATATAAGTGAAAAAGCCCTAATATGGTCCCTAATCATCAAAACAACCTAAAGAGACAAAGAAAATAGAGTTTGAAATCAGAGAAAAAATCGGCCAAAAAAAATTAAAAGTCCCAAGTTTAGCGAGTTGTAACCGATTTATTTGTTGACCAATTTCATTCTATCTTAACATAGTTAGGGAAACATGTGCACTCTCCAAGATGTGAAGGTTAAAACAAAATCAGATAATAAACAAAGGAAAAAACTAAAATCTTAAAAAAAGTTTTCTCTAACAATTTTTTTGTGGGGACATTGATGAAAGTAACATATATTAACATTTTACAATGTATTTATATGATATATAACAAAATAGAGCATGATAACATAGTTACTCATTATTATTTGTGTTATTATGTATTACTCAGCAATGATATAAAGGCACCAGCTGCATATCCACTTTGTGGACACTTCTTACTACTATTCTTCTTTGAGCGTCGGACAGGTGCTTGCATCTCTTTATTATTGCATTATCCTTCAGTTCCAGTTAATAGGAGCTGTTCTCCTTATCAACAAAACGTTCTTATCTGTTAAAAATTTGTCTAAAATAATTTTTTGAAAATATTTTGATGAAAGTTTCATGACACTGAAGCCAATAAGTTGGAGATTTGTTTAACATTTTTAAGTAATTTTTACATAATTTGAATATTTTTCGCTTCTGGGCCCCCAATATGCGTGGTAATGTGCCCGGTTTAAGGGTTAAAGTATACAATAGTACCGTACTGAAACACTGTAAACAGAGTACATATATATACACTATACATAGAAACATTATCCTTGTTAGTTAATAATGTACTCGGTCTTAGTTTTTGTGAATTATGTGCTCATAAATCAAGTTAATTTTCACACATACTAGAGTAAATACATAAAAACAAGTGATTAATGATCAAAGAAACACCCAAGGTGAACACTGAAGTCGTGTCTCTCATTCCTCAGTGCTAGCAAAGTTTGCATTGGGTGTTAACAAATGCCATCAAAGATTGCCATCACCCAATCTTTCACAGCTTGTGCAATCAGTAAAAAGATACACATCTATATTTTTCAGTTGTTCTTGCATTTTGCATGCAAATTAATAATTCTATATGGAAAAAATATCTTTTTATTTTTAAATTTTTTGTGCATTTATGGGATGACCATATTTCAATAGATGCACATTGAGGATTAACCATTGCCTTAGCTTAGGGAAGAATATGAGGATACTTAAAGGCTGCTAACTCCTTATCTAGAGCCGTGACAAATTTGTTGCATAAGGACCAATTTAATGTGCAGTGATGGCATCAGCACCTTCCAGAGGTCCATTAGTTGCTCCCACTCGACTTTGTTCCTCGTCACAGAGGATATCAGTAAAAAAGATGCCTGTGGTGGCGCGTATGTATTATACTTGCTCTCCCAAAGGCAAAGATAGCATTGAAACTTGGTAATGCTGCCATTAAGACCCATCAGGAATGCCACCATTTTGAAGACTGATGACCTCCCAGCCTTACTCGTCATACTTAAGGTGTCCCAGCAAGGTCCTGATGTTGTTGTAATCCTCCTTGAGGTGCATTTAGTGGGCCAGAGGAAGAGACAGGTACTTGTTCCCATTATGGAGCAGCACAGCTTTGAAGCTCTTGGATTCACTGTCTAAGATGAGGCAACACTCATTCAGGTTACAGGCAATTCCGATTACCATAAACAGGCACTAAAACAAAATTTATAAGGAATAAGAGACATTTTATAAACTTGGAAAAATAAGCTACTGTATTGGGAAAAATTTATCCAGGAAAAATATATAATTTGCTACACAGAGTTATGGCTGATAAGAAGAGGATGGGATGGTGATACATCAGTGCCAAGGAAGAGTTACCCATGAAACAAGCTGGAGATCGTCAAACATACTGCATGCTTTCCAGTAGCTGGTGTATGTATATACTGTATATAATCTATTTTGTATACCTGAAACTCGTCTTTGAATCTACTATCTAATTGCCACTTACGTCAAGATACGTACGATGATCCTCATTGTTACTATAAATACTGCTTAAACTGGAGGATGGGCTGGAATATTAAATCTAGTATTGAGAGAACATCCCCTTCCCTCATTCTCGTTGCCTGCTTAATATGTTGAAACATAATGTCTCCAGGATGACATTTACAAATCTGCCTGTCCAAATGTCCTCAGTTCTTGCCTTGTAGGCCTTCCAAACTATTGCTTTCAAGTTGAAGTCCCTTAGTACCAACAATCGTGATTGCCTTTCTCTGCTCTTACTATAATGCAAAATATTATCATGACCATTATGAGGCTCTCGTGTTTGTTATCTAGTTCCTCCTTTGTACATATGTTGCTTGCTGGTGGGCTGTAGGCATTTACAACTATCAGTTTATCATCCAGATTCCAAACCTGCAGTGCCATTATGTCATCTGTTTTAATTAGTATTAGTACTGGGAACAAAAGCACCAAGTTTTCATCATGGATGGCATAAACCCCTACATTCACTGCTTGGTATTTATACAATTATTTAATATTTATAACTTCAGTACTTGCCTTAAGCTTTACTGTGGATGATTTGTTTTCTAAATAACATGCTATTTATGACCTCCCAGAAATAACTGGGATCCATAAATCTCAGAAATATTATGGCCCTGATCAACGTTGAACGTCTCTAGCTTGGGCTGTGTATTTTGCTGACTGAGCGCTCAAGTACAGTATTGAGAGATGGGACTAGACTGCCACAATTGCCTTGTGGTCAATTTGTTTAGTGCACAAAACAGGCTACACTGTAGATATTCTGTTTATTTCCCCTTTTCTGTACATTTTACATCCAAATTAGTCATTCTATAAGGGCAAAATATTTTATTTATTTATTTACTGGTATTTATTTATTTTTTCTTCAAGGCAGACATGTATCTAAATTGATTGCATTTTGTTAGGGGTTAGGCATGTTTGATCTTCAACACTTGGTATCCTGCTTCAGCTGACTTCTGCCTCTGGTGGTGGACCTCTGGTTTGGCTGGCTTCAGGTTGCTTGGCATCTCATTCTCAGCTGTTTCGATCTGCAGGCCCCAGATGGTGTATCCTCTAGGGATACTCCCTTTGGGCATGTGATGGAGGCTATGGTGGGCCTAATGTCTCTTTTAATGTCTTCATCTCTCTCTCTCTGAAATGGGTCTAGGGATTTGGCCTTTTGTGGGGTTCATGGCTTTCCAGGTTGATGCCCTGTCTGTTCCGTCTGGAGACCTGTCTCTGATGATAATGCAGGCTCTCATTCTGGTTCTTCCTCCTCTGCAGTGGGAAAAGATTATAGGGTTCTTGAGATTCCAGAGGAGTGTCTGTGTGATTGCAGTTTCTCCTCTTTGGAGTTTTAGTTCCTGGTTCTGAGAGTTTGTTGTTTCCCTCTTCCTGAATCCCCCTCTCCTCCCATAAACATACATGTACATGTGTTTTCTTATCCCTAGTCCTGTTCTGAGCTTGATACCACCTCTGCGGCTGCTGTGGGTGAGTTTCTAGGTCCCAGTTCATGGCCTGGAGTTCACTCCTTTCCTCTTCAGCTTCACCGCTTTCCACTATCTTCCCACGAGTGTGACCTGACTGGAGTTGCTTTGGCACCTGCTATGATGCCGGGACTGTATGTTTCACTACTCAAGATGACTCAAACTACTACTAGACTATATAAATTCACAAATTTATAGTAATAAGTACAGTACTGTACTCAGTACAATAGTTAGGAACTCTGATAATTACTTGGGCAACACAGCAACGACACAGTACTGTACATGCAGGAGAGAAAGAGAATGTAGTAGAAGGTGAAAGTGATAAATAAGAGATGCGTATGTTTGAGCAAGTGATGATAGTCATTAAGTATTGGGGAATACAGTATGTGCAATGCATTTGCAGTGATTTTCTGCACAAGGTAATGTGTTGAGAATATTTTCATCAAACTGCCTGCATTTAATTTGCATCAGATGGCTGTTTAATTAATGCAGATTTGGTGTTTTTGTTTACTGTAAATTGAAAGAAGAAACAACCCTTTAAATTTTATAGCAATTTAATGCAATGCCTATTTTTCTTATAGATGTTACCCTTAATTTGTTTATGAATGTACTCTGTTGTGAATCACTCATATATATTTCCTAATTGAAAGACCTACTTGCTGCTTATGTCAGTGTTTCAGTGGTGTAGGATTTTTTCGGTAGTTTTAAATTTACCCCACAAAACCCAAAACGTTATCACATCACCTAATTGATCAAATCAGTAAAACCCCTTTAAAAAATCAATAGAGAAATACAGTAGAAATCAAACTAGTGCTTCATTTATTAAAAGAAATACAAGTACAGTATTAGGAATGGAACTTTGACACAAAATTAAAAAGGAAAAGCGACCTTGAATACAGATTTGTATAACTGAAACCATAATTTGGAGCTTCAGTAATCAGCAGTGTGATCAGTAATCACACTGCTGGAGCTTCAGCTTCAGCAGCATTTACAAAAGAATGTGAGTGTAATAGCATGAGACAGACCAGGCATTGGGTGGATTGATGAAAGCAAATTGTTTGAATATTTGATATTTGGAATTATAGTAATTATACTTGTAATCTTATTTAAGTAAAGTATTCAGTAGTGTTGAAGCTGTTTCATGTGCACAATCATTTACAATTCATTGGTTTTTCATATTTGAATTTTGGATTTTTTTTTTTAATATATTAGTTTTGGGTTCGTATTTTATATGTAAGAACGTTACAAATTTTTTTGCTGTCACTGGCCTGTGAATGTAGATTACATGATCGGTTTATTATATAGTATTTTATTTTGTATTTTTTTAAAGTTAAAAAAAATATGAATTTTGGAAATCATAGATACTGTAAGATTATCTATATACAAATAGAGATGCTAAACATGGCAGATATAGTTTAGTGGTATGTCAATGGAAGGGTTAGGTTTGGAAAGTATATATATAAAAAAAAAGGTTTAATATAGGTATTTTAGCAGGTATAGACACTAGTGGATGTCCAAAATTATTCGCAAAAAAAAAAAAAAATGTACTTCAAGTGAGTGAATGTCCTCTTGTTTTGTAATGACAGACGTTTGCAAGAGATTTTGTTACATTCAATATATGATGTATTCAGATTTATCTGGACAGACTGTTTAGGAAATGGTGGTGGTAATGTCTTCACCGCATCTTTTATCGAGGAGAGATATGCTATCATTAAGTTTTATGTGTGATGACTGACTTTGTTCTATTTGTTATTTCCTGGTAATGTCTATTTCACAGCAGTGTTGGTATATACTTCTTGTAATTTTATAAGCAAAGCAGATACTGTATTCAAAAGCATAATTTTTTCAGGATTCTGTCAAAGTTTACTTGATCTATTACAATATGAATCATATATATGATGTGTGATATATATTATTAAGATACACAGATATACATTATACATACATTAAGATACACAGCCTGCACGGACTAGCTAAATATCAAGCGTGGAAAATTTGGATTTTTATTGTATACAATAATTATAGGCCTCACCACAGAGGCCCATGCAATATTATGCAATTATACACCATTATATTAAGCAATTCATATTGCATAAATATGTATATTTATGTGGTATTACGAAGTATTTAAGGTGATGACCATCAAGAAGATAATTGCCTGTTCCAATGAATTGATATCATAACAAATCCAGAATTATTGTGCAATGTCTTCCCCAAATAAAATACAAATTCGAGCAGTCTCGGATAATAAAAGACGTTGTGCATTAGTAGAGAACCTTAATCATTTAAGAAGAATGCTCTAATACTACAACCATACATCTATGCATACTCTTGAGCATGTGATTTCCTCGACTCTGCATCCCGTAATGTTAATTAATACAGTTACAGCATCTTGTAAATGAAGCATAAATTGGGATACATAACGTTGGAAGACGTAGCATTTGATGTTGTTCCCTCCTTGATACTAGCACAGCTCCAGTGAATTATTACTCTTTTTAAACCTACCTCGTATCACATGATTGGCAGATGCATGGAGTTAAATTGGATCATGAATTTGATGTTTATTTAAGACCCTTATATGAAATTATATTTTTTTTACTATCTTTAGTCACTAGACTACCTTATTAGGCTAGATTTCACTTTTTGTTTGTATGTATTGTTGTTTGTTTCTTTCTAATTTGGAAATAAAAAAAAGTTGGCCTCACGTTGTCCATGGAAGTCCTGCAGTGTAGAAAATGTTAGGGTTACCCTTTCTTCCTCACTAATTATTTTTATATATAAAAATACACAGACACAGTATATATATCTATCTATATATCTCATAAGTAAGGAACCTTGGGACAAAATTATGAAACCAGCTTTTATTTGTTATTATATTATTTGTTCATGTTATTGACAGGATATGTACAGTATGTCCATTATTATGGATGTTACACAAAATCAAATTGGGTATCTGGAAAGAAATGCTGTAACAATGAACAGACAGTTTTAGTTTTTGAACAGGAAGGTGATGTATAACCAATTTACTGTTTGATAGGGGCCACAGATATCCTATAGGACATCTTATCTCTCTCTTCTCAAAGCTGCGGTGTTGTTGTATCAGTAGGGCTGCTGCTTCTCCTTCCTGTTTATTATCCTGGTATCGTCTTGGTAATATTACATTCTCTATTGTGTCAGTTTTGTCTCTGTAACTGTGATATGAGGATGCAGTTCTGCCAGTCATTCTTGTAGCTCTACCCCCCCTCTGTTTGTAATCCTGTCTGCATTTGTGTACCAAATTTATACTACTCGGTCTATTGGGCTGCTTAGTTTCTTCCTGGGGCATAGATCTCCATGTGAGTTAATCCCATTCTGATGGTGGCATTTGAGAGTAATAATTTAGTCACAAATTTTCATTTCCTTGGTCTATTTCCTTGCCAGAGTGATTAGGCCCACTATTTTACTGTGCCAGATTGTCCTCCTGCCCTTGTGTCACATCTTGTTACCCCTTTCCCACCCCAATCTTTTCCCAATTCCATTCTCCGTTCTTCTTGCCATTTTTCTGCACTTTTCCTCCCTATTTTGCTTAGCATCCTCTCTTTGTTCTTCACTCATGTCCCAGTCAATAGCACCTGGTTGTATCTTCCCTAATCCCTCAATCTTCTATTGTCTGCCAGCATACATTTTACTGGATATCTTCCTTGGAAGGTAACCTTTGCTGGTCTTTGTAGTCTATTATGGACCCTCCCTATATTCTACACAAATTATATATTTCTTGGCTTGTCCTACTTGCCTGCACTTTATCCTAGTCTCCATCTCTTCTCTCCTGCCATGTGGCTCCCTCGGGTTCTGTCACGTTGTTTATAATAATTGACCGTTCCCTATATTTTTTTTTTTTTTCAATTCACTACCTTCTTTGAAAGGTCAGTCTCTATTACAATTATAACGCTTCTGCTGTTTCTTTAATTGTATCCTTCGCATTTTTACCTGCCTCTACTACTACCGTAATCCTTTCCTTAAAGCTGTTAACATGCTTCCCTGCATAGGTTCTCTGATTTCAATTTCTTCATTTCCCTCCTCATCCTCATCCTTTGTCTCCACTACCTCTATCTCTTTATAGCTCAACTAATGTCCTCTTGATGGTCTCCATAGGGCCTTCATTTCTTTTACTCTCCTTATTCCTCATGATCTTTTTTCTCCATCTCGGTTTGCATTATAAGGTCCTTTGTTGCCTGGTTTACTTCCCTCCCTCTCACTAGTCCTTCCCATCTTGCCCTTCTTTATTCTTTCTATTTATCTCCAGTTTACCCATTATCTGTGAATAGGAGAAAGTAGTGTAAAGCCAAAACAATTGGAAGCTTCAAAACAATATAGGACAAAGATTATTAGGAGGATGGAACAAGCATCTCTCTCTGCCTATAACTACATTTAGGTAATTACACTTAGGTAATGACATGTTAGATGCTTAAAAATATTTGTGAATACGATGGGATAGCATGAGTATAACTGCATTTCCGTACCTATAAACAGGTTTTCAGAATGTATGTATGTGGGTGTATTTGTGTATGTCTATATATGTATGTTTGTCCAGTGTTTATGGTATGGATGTATGCCTTCCAAACATGTATATTTTCAGGGAACTGTGGGTTTAACTCTTATAGTACTTTATTCCTGATTTATAAAACTATTCAACCAATTTTTTTAATCATTGTTAGTATTATTTTAATGTTGGTATATTGAGTAGTTGTGATAATGTAATATTATGTAGACTTTGAGTGATCATTATTATGTGCTAGCAGGCTTTATTTGTGTAAGTTTATATTACCCTCTTTCACTAGTAGAGGTAATAATTATTGCGAGATATCCTCATTTATTGCATTTTTTTTTTTTACATTTATATAGCTTTCTTACACTTAATGTAATTTGAATGTTAGTATCAGAACTTCAAATGATTTATAAATCTTAAGAAATAAGAGCTACGGATTAATTAACAACAGCCTACTAGTTCAGCATGATAGTGAAATGTTAATTGTAATTCCATTTTCCATAATTAGGTGGTGCAGGTGATTTTGTCAGTGTTTCCATGGGGAGGCCACGGCCTCTGCCCTTCCCACCGTACACCATGCAAGGGTTGGGGATGGAGTTCGGTGGCCTTGGGGCCCACCACGGTACTCCATCAACAGTGAAAGTGGATTTTCTCATGCCTAACAGCATCATCATTCAACATAATGTCAGCACTAGTGCTTCCCTTGAGGAAATTAAAGAGGTATGGTTATCTCTAATGAGGTTTTTTGTTTTTTTTGCTCTTTGTACTGTACTCTTAATTATTTGTTTGACTCGGTCTTAAATATAACATGATCAGAGTTTTATGCAAACTCAGTATTGTATATTATATGAATACAGTACTGTATATTATAAATATATTGAACACTAGTCTAGTTATTGTAATTCTTGTATTTATAAGTTTAATATTAAATTCAATTTGCTTATTTCACATTTAATGATTGTAAGAATAAATTGGAGGGATTCGATCCCTGGACCTGGGTACTGTACTCCCAAGCTGTGCACCTTATCTCTGGACCACGACATGGTAAAAGTTGTACATCCTGTGAAGTCCACTGAATTCCCAGCTTGTCTGGAGGCCCCTACTGAAGCCAGTCCAGGTTTTACATATAACTCCCTCATGCACTCTGATATAGGTAATGGAGTCGCCTGACCACATGCTCCAGCTGGAGATACACAAGGAAATCACTCTACTGTGATATATCAGTGAGGCAAGGTGGGCGGCTTGGGAGTACCCAGGTCGAGGGTTCGAATCCCCTCATTGCTCCAATTGCTTTCCTTGTTGATATGTCACGTTAGTGTGGTTTCCTCGTGTGTTAGTGAACACGTTACTTTAAAGAGTCAGTGAATGTGTGTCATCCAGAGATTAAGCCTGCAGGAAATATAACTTGGCTGTGTGTAATGGACATTATGTTACTGCATTTATTAGATGCCAAGTGTTGCATTTACATCAGCTGAGAATTAATTTTCAGGAACTCCTGACATTAATGTTACAGCTGTTTAGCAGGATCCAGAAGCCCTAAAGCAAACATACGGTAATTGAGTTTTACACTAATCCTGTAAGTGCTACATAACATAGCCTTCCCAGTTTGGTGCCTTCTTTTGGTAATTACTTACTTACTAATCCTATAAACTTGTTAATAAATGCAGTAAAAATTATTATATTATTTACTGTAGATTTATATAGATATACACAAATTGCTATAGTTGGATGAAGAGGTGCCAAGGCTGAACCATCCACTTTCTTATGTATCTTTCTCATCTTTCTCTCCATCTGTTTCATGTCTCATCTCTCTCTCCATCTCTCCAATTTACAAACAGTGAGATGTAAACAAAAAAAATACGGCATGGTTATTAACTGCAGAACAAAAGTACAATTCATAAACATTTGTTTGCGGCAATTCATAAGGCCATTTAGGCCCTAATCACCTTGGTTGTCTGATGTACCAGCAGACTCTAGATCATACGAGTGTTAATAGTACCAAGTGCTCTAGTAGCAAAGATGACATCCTGTTTACTAATTACTCATCTATCAATCTTATCATTTATTGACACTGGAAGTTTGCTTTAGTAATGGAGGCATTATCTAATTCTTTTACATTTGCCTCTAAATAACTTTGCAATTTGACATCTTTATTTATTTACAGGAACTATGGGAGCGTGCCAGCGAGTATCCTCTCTTTGGGACACTCCATGAGCTTTCGTCGTACCACTTTGCGTGTATCAGTCAGCGAGCTGAAACGGTAGAGTTGATGGATGAAACCAAGTGTTTGCAAGAGATCAATCCCTTTATGTGTATTTTAAAAGTGGTTGAAAGGAAGGGCAATGAAACTGAAAAATTACTAAATCTCCAAATTGGCCAGTTAATTGGTAAAGGTAGGTAGAATTAAAATGTTTATTATTTCTATATTGTAATGCAAAGTGTTATTTATGACAGTCTGTTAAACCGAAATTTTTTATTACTTGATGTATAACGGTCAATTCTGTGCTGCCCATCAATACGTACCTCTCTTCTCTCATTCCCATCGTTCCTAAATTAGTAGGGCAGCAGGAGAAGGAGGGGGCTCACTCTTTTTGTCTGTAGGGTTGTTACCTGGTGGTAGCTAGGGGGGGGGGATTAGATAATCGGTCTTCAGAAGTTCAGAATGAAAAAAAAAAATGGGGGGGGGAGGGGCAGCTTTTGTTTCTGTAGCTTAAATCTATGACCCCTTGTTCATCAAGTTGCAGGTTTCTAGAATTCTTTATCAATTTTGTTGAGTCCCATTACTATTTTGTATGTAGTAATCATATCGCCTTTTTTTTTCTTTTATCTTCTTGCTTTGGCATATTTAACACCTCAAGTCTCTCCTCATAGCTCTTGCCTTTCAGTTTCAGTAGCCATTTTGTTGTCCAAGGGTTAAAGAACACAATAAAGTAGTTGTCATAAATGCAAGATAAATGACAGGTTGGATATCAAGAACCTTTTGAACAAGTGTTGCAAGTTGTTTTTTTTTTTTGTTTTTTTGAGATATATACAAGAGTTGTTACATTCTTGTACAGCCACTAGTACGCGTAGCGTTTCGGACAGGTCCCTGGAATACGATCCCCTGCCGCGAAGAATCGTTTTACGTGGTTAATGATACTTGTAAGATATTGTTCTCTCTCAGGTGGAATGTCATTGCACAGTAACAGCCCTATTCAAAACTGGAAAAATTGCTGACCCAGAAAAAAATGCAAAGAGCTTTTACTGCAGAATCCACTCAATAAAACTTTTAAATTATTGGGATTACTTAAAACGTTTAAATCTGTATTCCCTACAGTGGAAGAGATATGTAATAATTTATGCTTGGAAAATATCAGGGACTCATTCCAAATCTGCACATGGAAATAATATCACATGCGACCAGGAGGTATGGCATGAAGTGTAAAATAGATCTGTTGAAAAGCAGAGGTGCAGTAGGTGTGCTAAGAGAGAAGTCTATCAACATCAAGAGCTTAAGACGTTTCAACACTTTTCCTCTAAACATTAGGGACATAACTAGCAAAAAAAATTGATAACCACATCCAAAAGATACCTGATTAACCAAGCTGTTATTCATATGTCGAGTCGTGAGTAGCTGTATCTAACAGCTTGGTTGGCCCAACCACCATCCAAGAGGCTCAGTCAGAGACCGGGCAACAAGGACATTGATCCTCAGAACCACTGCAAGGTAACCATGGGGTAAGTTGCATTATATAACAAGAATGAGTTACGAAGCCTACCACACTACCATGGTCATCCACAACAGCAGCAACCCAGCATTTCTTACAGCTAAATATAGTGCTCATGAATTGTCATACTCTATACAAACAAACAGATTCACTTATTTCTTACAAACTGCTTCCATGCAGACTTCTTCCTTACCATTTCTCATGCATATTACACTTTCACTTTCTCTCGCATTCGATAACTGTGTTCACTCCCCTTCTTCCCTGCCTTGTTCTACCCCCTACCCTCAATTTCACTCAAATGCACAGTTCACCAGTCTACCACCCAAATATTCTGTTCACCAGTCATAACTCAAATATACTGTACTGTACATCAGTCTGATTCAAATACAGTACACTGTTCACTACTTTATCATTCAGATACACACTTCACCAGTCTATCATCATCTATGTTTTCAACATGCCCAAACCATCTCATAATTTTGTTAATAATGTACTGTAATAAAATTTCAGAGCTCCAGAAATTTGATGCACTTAAAAATCCCGAGGTGAATGAATTTCGGTGGAAGATGAAGGCAGTGTGTGACGAAGTTGTATCTGCAAGAAATAAATTAACCTGGTCTGAACAAGTAAGTTGAGTTTGTAGCATTTTATTATGTATAGGAATATAAGAAAAGTGAAAACTATAGAAGGCTTATTTTCCTTTACAGTGTATGTATTTTTCCCATACTTATTTACCCAAATATAGTTACAGGATGAGAGCTACGCTTGTGGTGTCCCGCTCCATGCTGTGTTTTGATTTAATCACCATACCCCACCAGAACTGCTTATTAGTATGTTATGGTGCATATAAATGTTGATAGTGATATATAACATGCATATATAGCATAATAACAGGAACACAGTTTGATTGATCTTAGAATATATGTGTCACCATATATGAGCTCCATATTTTTTTAGAATCACGAAGTTACACACATTTAACTTTATACATTCCATATATTACACATTATTGAATAATATTACTGCAAAAAACAAGATATAAAATCATTCACAGAGACTGAAAGAATTATGTAAAAATGTAATTTAGGCAGGCCCTGCCACACTCAGCTCTCGGCCACTAGGCTGACCTTGGGTTCTTGTTCTGTGTATATACACACTCAACACACAATCTTTGTGGTTCATTTTGGTGCACAACCATGTAGATAGTTATATACAACATGTGTATATAGTGTACTAACGGCAAAAACACTGTTTGATTGAACGTAGTATATAATATACATGTCACACATATGTGCCCCATAATTTTAGCATAGCGATATTCCACACATTGAACTATATGAATTCCACAAATTACATACTTTTGAATAATATTACAACAAAAAACTAGAGAAGAAACAAATGAGAGAGATCAAAATAATCGTGAAAAATTATATTCGCTGGAAAAGCCACCCCACGGGGTGGCGGGGTCTATTGTCCCGAAGCGCTTCATCACTCGGCGCCCATAATTTGCTCAACTTCTCAGCTCCATCACAGGTGAAGTATGTCACATACAATATTTTAACAATATAAAAAGATAAAATAATTTTTGTCAAAGAAATTATTTTCGGCGCATCACGGGAATGTCATAATTTTAAGGTCTCGCATCACGGTGAATAAAAACAATATTTACCTACCGGTAGTTCTTTTTAATCAAAATATATTCAGATTGTTTCCATATATTTATCTATTTTGCATTCATTGTTCTGTGTTCTATTTTGTGTTGATATATGTAATATGTGTATTACATTGATATCTTCCGTCTTGCACCTTTTCATCCATTTATATACTGTACAGTTCTACATTTATGTTTCTCCTTATTCTTCACCTTTCTTGAGAATATAAATCGAGCTTAATATTTTTTGTTAGGATAGTTCCTAATGCCAGGGATTTGTCATCCTTCTCTATAAACTTTAAAGGGAATCATCATTTTTATATTTTGTATTTTAAACCAGTATGGTGACAGGATGTCAGAATTGGCATAATTTGGATTGCATGTTGATGTCTATAAAGACAGTATATTAGGTAAAATAATATTTACAAATGTTGTCGTATTTCAATACTGTACTGTATGTGACATTAAATTTTTGTATTTGTCTTTGTTATAGGTGCAGTATCAGTATCCAGCACGTATTGCTACAAACACCGATCTGCCTAGATACATCACGGACAGATTACACGATGAGCAACTTTTGTTGTCAGTCCAGTTTGATACATCTATGGAGGTAATTAGGTTATGCAAGATGAACTTTGTCTAAATTTCCATTTAGCTGTGTAAAATAGAACTATTTAAAATTCAGTCAATAATTTGTAATTTCCACTATAAGAAGAGTATAGTAATTGAAAAGTCAAGAGTATTCATAGTATTAACCATCTGCTAAGATACTCCTGAGATACTGTATGTTTAATTCAGCTAGGAATGTTGTGACCTGGAGTGGGCTCTGGGAGTTCTTCCCTCCAAGCCCAGCCTGGGACTTGGGGCCTGGGACTGGGTTCAGGCTTGTCTTGCGATAAATTGATCTAAAAGTCTGTCATTTGGAGCAGCCCACAGGACTTCTTATCCATTATAATCTGGTTGGTGCAACATTTCCTCGAGGAACTTGTTAAGTTAGTTTTTGAACGTGTCCACTTTTTGTTCCAGCAATTATTTTTTATATTTATAATGATATTGATGAGTCGAAGACCTCTGATATTCATGGTGTTTTCTGATTGTGCCAATGAGGCCTGGTTGAGGACCGGGCCGCGGGGACGCTAAGCCCCGAAATCATTGCAAGGTCATCGCAAGGTATGGCACCTCTTCTCTTCACTGGGTCTGTTTTGCATCTCCTACCATATCTTTTGGTATATTTGGTTGATATTTATGGTGTACATTTGGGACCTAGTTTTCCAGGTAGTTTTGCACATTCATCAGTTATGAAGATGAGAGTAAACATTTTCATGGGCTGCAGCAGGCATTGCAGCACATTTAGATGTCATAATGCAAGAAAGTAATTCAAAATGTTTGCTAAACATAATAAAACCAGTTGAATGTAATGCAAAACTTCATTAAAGCACACTAAAAGCAGCACCAACTTTAAGAATGCCTAACCAAGCTCAAGGTCGTGAAGTTTTGCTTAATTTTCTTACCCTGTGGACATTGTATTTCACAAATATTGAAGTCAGAAATAGTGAGGGTTCATTTTATAGGTTTGATATATAAAGAACTCTTATGCATCCTTTGATTCTGTTCATAAGTTGATCGAGTATGACGAGGGCACGGAACAACGTGAGGTGGCCATGGATTGCTTGCATGAAATTTTCACACACGCTGACAGAGAAGCAACATTTAATATAGACCTAAATTTTCAACAACATTTGGAGTTTTTGTAGGTATCTGAATATTGATTGGTTCCATACAAGGTCTACAAAATCTAAGAGAACAGGATAAGAACAATCCACCAACTTCGAAAGCAGATACGACAGTCATCGGAAACTGAAAAGTGGGTTCCAAGAGATAATCCTCCTTGCCTGTGTAATTCTGGTGTGTTACATCCAAAACCTTGTGCTGGCGATGAGTTGGAAGTGAAGTCAGACCTGAATGTCCCACCACCTGCAACTAACATTAATATACAGTAGTGTACAGTCACAAAACATCATCTGGCCGTCACATCAAGAACATAGTCAAAGAAGACTATGCTACTCTGGCCAATGTCAGGATTAACTGCGATATATATGTGAGTACATTTACTTCTAATATGATGATGCTTTCATTGATACTGTATCTCAATGTTTAAGAATCTTCTGATTTTTTTTTCAGGTTCAGCCGACATTTACTTTTCGAGTTCAGCCTGATATTAGAACAAGAGAGTTTTTGAATATGGGCCTTGCAAAATTAGCAATTACTTTTGTAATGGATGAACCTCCGGAAAATTATGTATTAAAGGTAAGATGCATAGAAGGTAAGATTAGTAAGATTTTGATGGCTGTAACCTCTTACAAAATAAACTTAGTTTAGGCACATGTTTATTCTAAGTGTGTCAAATAATAGATCAAATAATAGTTTTACTCTACTGGTGTTATTTCATTGTGTAGATTCAGGTTAAGCTTCGTGCAGATTTGGCTAATCTGTGTTCTCCAAAAATGTTTTGGTTTGCTGTTTTAGGGCAGTATCAATCTCATGTTTTGTATTAATCTTTGAATGGATTTACTAAAAGCTTTTGATTATTGGACTCTACAAGATGATCTATTTGGATTGTAGTTTTCTTGCACTTTCCTTATTTTTAAAATTCATCTCACTGTATGTCTTATTTTTGTCCTGGGGGAGTTAACTGATAGCAGTCCCTGAAGCCACCCCACCAGGGAACCTGACTTTTTATGAACATTTTTCTAATGACCTTTTCAAACATTTTATTGTGTCTACTTGCAAATGAGACAAGCCTAAAGCTAAGAGATTACTCTTTTTCACTATCACCTGATTTATAAAGGGACACAATATTTGCTATCTTCCATTATCAGCTTAGTTTTCCTTAGGAGTGAAATATTGAGTTTTGGATTACTAATAAACTCTTGCATTCATTCTAATTCTCTTCATCTCCAACAACACACATTCTCTTCAGATTGTCCACTACTACTGCTCAACTTTATATACAGAATTAAGTGTAGAATAATCACTCTTTTTTTTATATCATAGTTTTCTTTTATGGATTAATTGTTATCAGCCATTACTCATTCTTATTAGTAACCCAACCCACACACATGTGAACAGAAAGTTTTGACTTTATAGGCGTTCACGATGAACCAAAATGTCGTCATTTACATTTATTTTTTGTGTGGGGGTTGGGGTACTAATTTTCAGCCACATTGTTACTTATTATCACCATTATGCTTATTATCTTCAATTATCATAATTATATATATTACTTGTTGAAGGTTCCGGGGGATCAGTGTCCCTGCAGCCCGGTCTCTGACCAGGCCTCCTGCCTGTTTAATATTGAATAAACTGAATATACTGTACTGAAGTTATATATTTTTCTGCAAATACTGACTCAAATACTTGTTATATTTTAAGACGCCAGGCAGAGAAGAATATTTAATTGCCGATGTGCCGCTCTCCCAATATATGTATATTCGCGAACATGTGTGCCAAGATGAGTTCTCATCAATACCTCTAGTCATTGTTCATCGAGGAACTATTCAAGGTAAGAGACCATTTCTGTAGCTATCTCTCTCCTATTATACTAAAGTTTGTTGCATAGTTTAAAGTAGTTCAGTATGAATCTTGTAGATCAGAGAAACTTGTTCTAGATATAAACCCTTTCTCATGAATGTGAGAATAGGGATAATGATGGAAAAAAGCAGTGTCAAAATTTTAGTTCAACTACACATACAAGGAGCCCTCAACTAACAAACTCAACGTGCCCATGAGAACTATTCGCAAGTAATTTATTCAGTCCTCAGAACCATCTTTAATATACTGTACTGTAGAGGTTTAATTATATATATAGAATTTACGTTCCCGAGCCCCCAAAATTTGCATAATTACTGAAGTTTATGTGAAAAATAAACAAAGACTTGTAATATTTACCTTGAATTCTGGAATTAACCTGCTTATTGGTCATAATACTGATTGATGACCTATAACATTAATGACACATGCAAGATACGGTAGTAGGTGATGCTGGGGTTGAACTTGAATGTACTGTAGAAGTTGCACTGGTTTGAGAGTTGGCTACAATCAACTTGAAAAATACTGTTAAGTTATGGTGGCTTGATATAATTCTACAGGTTCTGGATCAGGCTTTTTTTCTGTAGAAATTTGTTGGTGAATCTTGAAAAACTAAATGAATTTTCTCTTTAAAATTTCTGTGCAACATATTTTGCTAAATACCACAAAAGTCTGGAATATTTTTGCTTGAATTTCTTTGGAGCTGCGAGCTCGCTATTCCAAAATTACCAAACCCTCATCAATCTTCTTAAAATCTTCTGCCATTTTCAATCCTCAGGAGAGGTTTTGGTTGGGTTGGTGGCTCATCTTCTACCTTTGCAGCTGCTTCATCTTCGACCTCTTCTCACTCGAATGCCATAAAGGTAGTCATTGAAGAGACCTTTGAATGAAAGCCCAAGTTTCTACGTTCTCTTCATCAAGATAACGATCAGATTCAATTTCTATATTGGATGCACACTGCTATTTGTCACCTTCATTTATTCAGCAAACCTTTAAATCATTTACAAATGAAGAGGAGTGTTTTCTGCACATTATTCATGCTCATTTTTTTAACTTCATCCCATGACTTAACAGATTCATAAATGTTATAGCTTCTCCAAAAACCTTGAGGGTAATGAGTTTTAATCTGATAACTTACAGGCTTTAGGACTTGGTTTGAAATTCTGTGGGTATTATAATCTATACTTTGAGTCTACCTAGAGATGGTTATGAGGATCACTATCTAACCATCCTGTACTGAGACATTCGCCAGTGGCATCATTCTTTTGACATCCATATGGCCAGTTCAGCTTCTGTTTCCAGTCCTCTCCTGTTGCCCACATCCAGAGCTTTTTCAGAAGCTGCATCTCTTTCAGGAGGTCAACAGCCAGCAATTTTAGGATGGTTAGCAGCTCTCTGGGTATCGTTTGTGTATGGACTTTTTGAGTCTTCTGACGTTTGATATCACATTTATGTCACTCTTTGTTACAGCAGTATGTGATGGTATATTAGAGTACTTGCCAACTACCTATAAAGGATACAAGAATTTCCTTATATTTTGATGACTCGGTTGCACATCCATCTTATAATGATGATGTCTTGTGGTCCCTACTTCAATGTAAATTGACTGTCCTTGATTGTAGACATCCTCTAACCATCAGCACCTTCTGGTGCTGTCCCTAAAATCATGGCACTTTTCAAGAGGGCAGATGTTTACTGGAGGCCTCAAATACCAGTTTGGAACACCGTGTACCAGTGGGATTTTCATGTTACAAAGTATCTAAAACATCTTGCGGTGACCTGCATAATATGGGTTGAACATCTTAAGATGGTATGCACATTCTAAGGGTTAAACACATTCACTCACCAAATATTCCTGTCACTGTATGATTATAAAAACACTTACATGAATAATGCAAATGCGTATTATAGCAATTGTTGAAATTAATCTCTATAATATGTGATCTTTACATTGATTTTATCTGCCTTGTAGGATTCTGCAGATTTTTAAAGGGAAATAATAATATTTTTACTAATTAGGGGTTCTTTTGTCCACAGTTGATATTGAAAATATATATGAAAGAATTGAAGATTTTGGAGTGAAGCATTTACGGAGCTCTTTCTCAGGGATGACACTAAGTAAAAAGAAAAATGTAAAGTTTGTCTCATCTTGGACAGTTGAAGATGAATTTAACTTTCGAATTGGAAACATCTCAAATGTGAACCTTTTCACTGATGACCAGGTTGTGGTAAGTTGGTTTTTGTTAAACTTCTGCTGCTGTTATTAGTTCATTTCATAGCTAGTACAGCCTTCAGTGCTGAGCCTGCAAATTTTCCATAACATATGGTATCAATAGATGCCACTTGCATACTCTAGTGCTCATGAAAGTAGCGTTACTATACGTAACGCTATACATTCAGTAAGTAAATCTTTAATGTAATTTGTAAATTTAAGAAAATTTAAAGCTAAATTTAAACACACAATCCTTAGTGTTAGATATTTATCAATTATCTTAGTCTTAAGAGTATAAAGCAGAGTAACATCTTTGTTACACTAGACATAAGTATTCCCATTGATTTCATATTAATCTTTTAATAACAATCCTGTACCTGTGGTATTGAAGTGTGGTTGATGTTCAGGCATCAAGGTTTTTCCATAATATTGGCATATTCCAAACTAACAACTGATTAACATAGAGCTGAATGTTATGTTAGTGCTGTAACTCGGGAGTTACTGGCATAAAACAGTTCGTTGTATTATGCACTCCCCTCCCCTAAATAGATGCAATAAATAGTATCATAATTGGAGGATGGCCTGTACTATAGATTATACTGAAATGACCCTGTATAGCACTGATTTAGTGTTCTAACTTCTGGGACCAAACCCCTGTGTAATACATGTTATGGTTGTATCACAATCTGAAGCATTTCTAAAGTGTGAAAATGTTAAGACATACTGTAGGTAGAATTATGCATTTATAATCCTGCTGAAAATATAGAAAAAGTTATGTTTAAAAGTTTTGTGTACAAATATAGATAGATAAATGAAAAATATATATTTATAATATTTTATTTATGTTTTTGCAGGTGGTGATTGAAGGTGGCCTTTATCATGGTAGTCGGGCACTTTGTGAGACAAAAACCACACAAGAAATTAACATAAGTGATGGGACAGGTATCGTGGATGAAGATCTTACCTTCGCCATAGCTGTGTGCAACATTCCTAGGAACACGCGTCTCTGTCTAGCCATCTATGAAGCGAGCCGTAGTGCTAAAGCAACTAAAGCAAGATCTTCAATTGGCACTAAACAAGTATGTAAATTACTAAAAAGAATACTTGTGTAGTGTACAATCACACAGCAGCCATACCTGTTAGGAAGTTCTCGTTTAAGGAAGTGGGTGGTTGGCAGGTGGAATGTGCATTGAAGGAAGAGGTTGTTGAAGCCAATTCCTTACACAATTTTAAGAAAATAATATGATGAAAACATTTATGTTGAGAGAGATAATTAGTGCATCAGGTATAAACAGCAAGGAGTTAGGGCATACAGAGCTAGACCTCACTATAGTCAGGTAAGGTAGGTAACAGGTAAGCAGCTTTTACACAATGGATTCATTATTATTATTATTATTATTATTATTATTATTATTATCATCATCATCATCAGTGATAAAATCACTGAGGCATTAGAAGAAAAACAGAATGCAGGTGTGGTATTCACGGGCTTCGCAAAAGCATTTTATAACTGTGACCATGGAGTGATAGCCCACAAAATGAGGTCAATAGGCATACCATAATTTATATAAATTGTCATCCACAACATACACTAATGCTATTATTAATAATAATGAATGCATTATGATTTTTTCAGGAATTGTACAAGAACCCTCTGGCTTGGGTGAACACAGCTGTTTTTGACTACAGGAATCAATTAAAGACAGGAGCAATGTCTTTGTATGCTTGGAAGATTTGTGAGGATCAAACAGGAGACGTTATGCCCAACCCACTGGGTACTTTGGTCAGCAACCCTAATCATGATCAAGCAGTCACCCTTACCATCACTTTCCCACGTTTCAATTCTGCCTCAAATATTATGTTCCCATCTAAGGATAAGATTATCTCGACTGCTAAGGAAAACCCACAGTGTGATGAGGTAGGGCCCTATGTGGATTTACATTGACATTCCTCCCAAAATAATTGTTTATCAGATTGTTTCAAAATAGTTTTGCTGCATTACCCGCTCTTCATTGTTATTTGTTCTTTCCATATTTCATGTATTTTGGTATCACTATGGTTTTGCCATGTTAATTTTGTTTGAGGTTTTCAAGTGATATCTAAAGAATGATCTTGTGTATTGGCTGTTTTTTAATCAATACTATATATAAAAAAAAACAGTTTTCTGAATGTATTGAAACACCTCTTTCTGGTAGAGTCCTCATGGCTCCCTGTAGTTATATCACTGAGATTGCTATAACCTACAAGCCACACCATTTGCATGAGTTCATTTGGTCTACGCCAGAACAAGGAAAGCCATCACACAAAGTGCAGAGAGCAAATGACATTCTACCATTTCATCGAGAAAGCATCCAGGAAGTCAGTGAAGCTTTACAGGCAACTGCTGGGTTCACAAGATATCAAAGCCATGAATCTGCTAAGCAACTCCCCAAACAATTAAAAGCAAGCAAAAGAAAACACTCAAAACTAGCTAGAACCTGTCAGTATTCAATGGGTTCTAGCTAGAACCCATGCTGCTATAAGGCAGCCCAGAGCTCGGTTCAATGTCGGCTATCAGAGCAGTTCTGGAGCAGATAAAACACCACAACGACCAAGAAATACTGAAGGGAGGGAGACAAGGATCCACTTGGGCTTTATCAGAGAGGTGTTTCATTATATTCAATGCTGGTTTCTGGATAAGCCCCATGATGGCTACTTGTAGCTAAATAAATACGTAGAGAGAAAAATAGAGGGACTTAACAGAGACGATAACTTGATAACTGCATACAAACTGAAACTGAAGATGGTGGAAAGACAACTAGAAGTGAAATGAGTGCTAAGACTTTTCCTGCTACTTCCTGGAAGACAAACGCAGGTAAGAAACCAATAACCTAGCCCCCTGTGGGCCCAAAAAATGTAAATATTCCTGCATTAGAATGTCCAGACATGAAGAGATGCAGAGAAAGCCAATCCAGCAAGCTATATAGCTGGGCAGATTCTCTGAAAAAGGAGAAGTGAAAAAATACCAGGCTACACATCAGACTCCCAAGTGTCACATATGTGCAGCAAGGCAACAACATTCAATAGATAACATGTGACCATCATCTCGTTAGACTGCCAAAAACCCAAAGCTCGGATATTATTGATGGACATATTAGCAAAGAATACTACCCAAACAGAATACCTTTGCACAACCCTTGCACATAGGAGCAAGGACTGACTGACTAAATTGAACTATAGTACCTTCTGGATGATCTGGAAGAGTTGGGCCTTGAATAAGGGATTTAAGACATTGGGGCTAATAAACAGAGTAAAATATCTACCTGGGTTGTGCGAGTGGTGGAGAAATAACATCACACAGAAGTGACAGGACAAATATTATGGTGCACCTCCTGCCAGATCTATTAAGCATTAATGACCAAAACATCCTTCTAAAAGATGGAAGTTGCTTTGTTAGCCAAAAATCCTGAAGAAGGCAGAACACATAGGTAACGAATTCCAGGATCAAAAGAACAGAAATCATGCTTCCGTGCAAGGCATGAAGCTCACAAGCATGACCACTGGAAGCCAAGACCACAAAAAGGCAGTCTTAAACCTTAGACAACAGCATTCATTAACATGCAGTACAGTAAGCACAAGAGTTTATCCAAGATCAATGAAGCTTGCATTAATTCATGTTTCTTAAATTAAAAACCTTTGAGAATTTGGATAGAGCCCTGCTTTTTAATCCCTATAATTGCCAAGATTTGACACTTTTATGACAATTATTACCTAATGAAAAGATAAACCTTGATATTATACATTTAGGTTATTAATTAAAAGATTTTAGAACATGTGCATTATTGCACCCAAAAATATTTCAGCGAAAATAACTAAGTTTGAAACTATTTTGTGTTTGTTTTTAGTCACCTCACCCATATTTATTTATGCTTTCCCTTGAATCCTATAAAGAAAAAAATTAAACTTTTCAACAACTTTTAGATATAATAAATAATAATCAAGAGTAATTAACATGTAATCAATTTGACTAAATTTACTTGAAGGAAAGTTGAGTCTAGAGCCAAAAATAATTAAATTCATTGTATACAAAATTCACACACTGTGTTTGCAGGTTTAATGTATTTTACAGTTTCTAAATGTTCATTATATTTAATTATTGAGAAAAACATAAGAATGATTATTAATTTATTTTTTATACAGTCATGTAATATAATCATTTTTTGCACAGGGCACTCCAACCCCAAGTGCAATGGAGGAGATTCGTCAGATAGCAGATCGAGACCCTCTGACAGAGCTTCATGAGCAGGAACGCAAATTGTTGTGGTCTTTAAGAAATGTCTGCCTTAAAGAACTCCCTCACCTTCTCCCAAAATTGTTGCAGTGCGTAGAGTGGGATAATAAATCTGAAGTAAGGAGCTGTCTAATTTATTTATTGATCATTTTTTCTGAAAACAAAAATAAAATGACAGGGTTACAAACATACATCATTTGTCTTCATGTTCATGACCCTGTTTCCTACTTCCATTGGGTAGAGAGGCATCACCCTGGAGAAAAAAGTGATAATATAGTGACGGAAAATTATAAATATTAAGAGGGAAATATCATGCATCTATTTATTGCATCATTCACGCTACCAGTACTGTATATATCGTCATAGACAAACGAGCATCCCCCCACAATCCAGCAGTCATTCAGAGAAGTGCTTGGCACAGATAGTGTCCACTTTTGGCTGCTTATTCATGGGCTCTAGCTCAGTTCTCACCTCTATACTTATTTGACTTTGCATTTCATTGTGTCAGAACATACTAATTTACTTCAAAGATTTTCTCCAACTGAGTTAGGCCACACTTTGAATTTTCCTAAGACCAGTTGGTTACCATACAATACATCTTATTTTCCAATGGACTATTGGCTGCCTTCTTTTATCCAGTTCTGTATTGGATACATTTATTATTCCCAATAGAGGGAATTAGGGAATTAACCAATTCTCTAATTAGAGAACATTGTATTCAATGTTCCCTCAAATTAGAAGGGAACAGGTGAAGCCTCCACAATTATTATTACATCAAACTTCAAGTTTTCCATGCCTGGTTCACACTGCTTAGCCTTCTATGAAGGACTTCTTGTTCTATATATTAGGTTTCAGTCTTCCTGACCACACAAGCAGTTGCAAAGATACCTGTCACAATTGTGATTAAAGTCATTTGAGCCTGGCGGGTGATATGACGTCTAAACGTATCAAAGTTTTGGCCATTGGAGCATCCACGGGATCGTATGTCAGAAATCTCTGGACAGGATTGTGAAATATACTGGGATTGGAGACCAAAGAATACTTCCCTTGGCATCCTTAATGTGATCTACTTTTAATTTTAAAAGCTGCAGTCTCCACAGGCTCACAATGGAAGACTAAAATTGTTTATGATGTTTGATTTATTAGGAATACTGTACATTTGAATAATAATTTATCATCCGGTTTTCATTACAAGTGCATCTTAATCTTCAAACATTTTAGGTAGCAGAAATGATATCACTATTGGAAGTGTGGCCCAAGTTATCTCCAGATCGAGCCCTGGAACTTCTAGATTATGCATATGCTGAACCAGCTGTCAGGAGTTATGCCATAGAGTGCCTAGTCCGTATCAGGTAAGTTATGTACCAATATGGTTTAATCAATCTTCTGTGTTGATACCTACAATAAGTAAGAGTATCCCTGCATTTGAAAGATCAGCTAATGCATTTTTGCTGGCCTATAATTTTAATGTAGTCTTTAAAAAAAATTATGTAATATGCAAGTGACATAACTCGAGTGCTGGACCTTGGCCACCAGTTGTATATTAAACAAAACTACAAGTGAGAACTGCTAGCGGTGAGGCTTTACTGTACGGTATACCATAACTGTTTAGTGATTGGGTACACCTGAGTAACCTTGTTTATAGGGGGTATGGAGGGACGTAGGGGCTGTGTTTGCACCGTGTATTAAATAGGCTGTGAGGGGGGGAAGGGGGAACTATCAGGAGAAAGCACCAAGCTATTACAACTATATAGCACTTGTAAGGGGTCAGAATAAGGATTTGGGATGGGGGGGGGGGGAGAGGAACGGTGCCCAACCACTTGGACAGTCAGGGATTGAACGCCGACCTTTATTAATTTTATTTTGGTATACTGGCTTTCATTTGATAATTACTTTATTAATATAATGATTTTCTTTTGCTAATTTATTTCTTAAAATTGTATAGTGGCAATTTTATGCATATGTACATGCATGATGTCCGAAACACTGTGTGTGTTAGTGGCTTTGAACGAATGTAAAAAAAAAAATTATGTAATCTCACCAACCCATTGTACATTCTTGCAAATAAATTATTATTATTAATATTATTATTATAATTATTATTATATTATTATTATTTTTATCCAGTATATATGTGTTCATTATACAGTGCAGTATACAAGTACACTTCACGCATAGCTGTCTTGTATGTATGAACTTGTATTTATTTAAACAATAATGTGTGATAATGTGCTCCTTTTGTATTATTAATAAGCCACATATTTTCAACAGTGATGATGACCTGCTGTTATACTTGCTCCAGTTGGTTCAGGCCCTTAAGCACGAAAATTATCTCTACTGTCACCTGGTCGAGTTTCTTCTCAACCGTGCCCTCAGGAATATGAGAATTGGCCATTTCTTCTTTTGGCATCTCAGGTAATTTAATGAGTCTTGTGCATAAACATCAGGCTTTGAACAGGTAAAGCACCTCTATAAACATGTATTTTTGGTTGCTCCATAACGCATAGTTAGGATTCTCGAACACAGGCAGGATGATACATAGGCACCGCTGCATAGATCTTGTCAGAAATCCCCACTGGGTCATATATAAAGCACTAGGGAGGCACTGTAGAAAAGTTCAAATTAGGTTCAACCCTTGGACAGCAGCTATGAAAAAAAAATTGTCATTTTGCCCATGCGCCAAAAATGTACAAATTCCAAACAAATAATTTGTACCAGATCCCTGGAATCTTGGATTTCTGTTGAGTACCATGTGCCCTCTAGAGAGTACCTCAGTTCACCAGGCATGAGTGCTGCTTTTGCTTGTGTATGTACCCCTGTGCCCTAGTTGTGTGCCATAATAGCCTGGACTCTTGTTCTGGGTAGGTGCTTCAGCTCTTGTCCACATGGGTCTATCACACATTAAAGTTGTGGGCATGACTCTTGTTAATGTTGCCTCTATTGCATGGCTCCTTGGTAGTTTTAGGCCTAGTAGATTGGATTTTGTAACCCGTATATGACAACTTTCACCATGTGATATATCATTTTCATCCATATGACTGATTTTCATTTTAAGTGATGAACTTTGTTTAGTAAATTTTGAATATTGGCCCTTATCTCCTTAAATACAGTACAATACTAGTTTTATAAATGAAGCATAGGGCCTGTGAAGAATAATTCTTGCCAAAAAATACTACAAAGACCCTTAGAGATGTTTGTATATGGTTCCTGTGTTGGTGTGAGTTCCTGACTGTGCATGATCCTATACAAGAACACAATGTGTTCTCATTCTTTAGGTAACCGAATGATTCTGCTCGGAGCTTTAATTTATTCTTATTACAGTATTTAATATTAAAATGCATTCATCAGTTACAAACTTTCTGTAAACTTGTCTTATGTAATGAGAAAATCACAAAAGTTTGGGGATTAATAGTGAAAATGATTTAAAATATTGATAGCTCAGAATTCTTGAAAGTTCAGAACAGTTTATTCTATCATGATTTCTCTGTTCAGTACAGTATATTGCTTCCCTGAAATATTATAAATCTTGTTTTATGTATTAATGTAGATTACTTATCATCTATATTTTTCTTTTAAAAGGTCAGAAATGCATGTGCCCTCTGTTTCAATTCGTTTTGGGCTTATCTTGGAAGCCTATTGCCGCGGATCTGTAGAGCACATGAAGATTCTTCTTCGACAGTTGGATGCTCTCGGCAAATTCAAAGGTAAGTGTTCAATCACATAATTATATAATTAAGCAACATTTAGGTACGCATATTGCTGTATCTTAATATACTCTCCTTCATACAGTCTTTATCTGAAATATATTTAATCAATACATTGCTTTATAAATACAAAAGGCAGCTGTAATGATAAAGCAACTTAATAATTGCAGTTGTAAAAAGGTAACAAACACTGCATTCATATTATATAGGGGCAGAACATTTAATAGTACAATGTGCATGTAGTCCCCCTTAAACAGAAGTGATTCTTAACTGATACCCTTTTGCCATTACTTTTCACAATTACTATTCATAGCAAACATTAATAAGTTTCTGAGAGGGCACCTTTAGTAGCAAAGTGCTAACATGCCAACACAAACCATTGCTTGAAGGAAATAAATTAAATTGAGGCAAACAACCTTAGCCCTAATTTGCATTCATGTTTGGGGCTGGCTTAATCCCTTGATAAGGTGCTGGATTTTCTTTCTTTTCCTTAGTTATGGGTATGTCTTTCTTTTGGGGATCAATCCTTCAAGACTTACTCTTGGCAAGTCTTTGGTGATAGGTAATCAGTTAAGTGAATTCCATACAACTTCATCATCTGGGGGTTATTTATTTTACTCATAGAGACACTTTTGTGTGTCTTATTCTAAACCCTTTATCTTTGGCCAAGAACTTCTCAGGATCTTTGATGCAACATATTCAGTGATCTGTAGTTTTTCTGCACCATTATTTCCTGGCTGGCTTCTTAGTGCTCTATGCAAATTTTCTCATTTTGAATCCTTGAGGCTGGTATCTCCTAGTTACTTCACAGATTGTTTGATTAAGCTGAGGCAGCCAGATGTATCCTAGGGACACTCTTCTGCAGTATCCTGTGCTGACATCATAACTCAGAAAGGAGAGTTGTGGAAAATCACCCGAATGTTTACCTCCAGATACATATTTTAGGGTTCCCCACCTTTACTGCCAGGGTTTCATCTTTGGCAAGCTCTTCTTTTAACCCCAAGCAGAGTTGGTACTGAGGTGTGTGGCTGTTGTTCCTTTTTTTTCCTAGAGATACCTCAGGAATCTAGCTTGTGTTTATGATACATGCTTCTCTTAGCAGTACACTCAACACTTCCTATTCCTTATATTCCTTACTATATATTCTGTATCCTAGATGTATCCTAGGGACACCCTTCTGCAGTATCCTGTCCTGACATCATAACTCAGAAAGGAAGTTGTGGAAAATCACCCGAATGTTTACCTCCAGATACATATTTTACCTTCTTGAGAAACCTTCCTTGGTTTCTCTGTGCTTCAACTTCTGGTGCAGGATGAAATGAGGTGGTAGGGTGGGTGGACAGTGTTGTTGTGTAACAATGTCTTTTGGTGGAAATAGGTAGTTAACAAACTAGTAGTGTTAAGTTGTTTATCAGGGTGCAGTTTGACAATGTGTAGTCAGCTGGGGCCTGGAGTAGGCTCTTAGTTACGGAGCGCACTTTTCTGTCTATGTTGCAGGTTGAATAGTCTCTCCAGTTTTCCCCCATCACCAGTACGTTCTGACAGGGACAGTTTGAAAAGTTTCCTGCTGAGCTAGTGTGTAATATTGTCTTGTCCCAACAAGTCCGGGGACAAAAAAGCTTTGTCTTAGTGAGTGACTGACTATACTACTCAGAAATAGTGTTTCATAAACTTCTCAGCTAAATTATTAACTTATTTCTTCAAATTTACATATATTGCTCCTTTTTGAGTATTTTTACTATAAATATAAGTTCTTAATATGGAACCTTTTTGTTTATATCTTTCAGAGGTGAGAGACATAGTGAATGATAATCGTGCTGTGAGAGATAGAGCCGAGAAGCTCATGAAGGACTTCATGAAAAAACCACATGCCAGAGCAGCCTTGTCTCATTTTCTCAACCCAATTGATCCTATGTATAGGATTAGCACCATTAAGTAAGTGTTTTTATGGTTCTTTTAATACTGTTCATTACATTTTAGTTTCTCTGTTTTCCTTCCAATGCCACTGCCCATTGCATTGTTTCCTGCCAGGACATCACCTAAGGTATCACAAACATTCCTTAGTACATTCACATTCATTTAGTAAACATTCCATTAGTAACATTCAACATTGTTCTACTAACAAGTAGAACATTCCTTAGTAAACATCACCTCACCAGTTGATTGACAGTTGAGAGGTGGGACCAAAGAGCCAAAGCTCAACCCCCACAAGCACAATTAGGTGAGTACTAAAGGGTTTGATGAATACCAGATGATCAAATTTTAAACTGATAACCCAATATATTTTTTGCTAGTCAGTGTTTTGTGATTTAGGTTAATTCCTGTAGATCATGTGTAAAGCAAAGCCTGCACAACTCAATCTGAAGCGTACATGGGAAAATAGTGTTATATTTCAGCTCTTGCTGGTTCACAGTGTTTCCAATCAGTATATGAGGCCTCCAGTAAATGTTAGCCATCTTGAAAAGTGACTTAGGATTTTGGGGATATTGTTCCTATGCTGAGGACATGGCTTTTAGCAGTACAAATAAGGTCAGTTTCAATACAGAAAGTCAAAAACCTTGTTCTGGATACTATTTTTATATGTGCATACAGGTAATGCCTAGTATAACCATTGCATAATGCAAGGGATTGACAGCAATGTATGTATGTACTGTATAAGAGAGGAACATACAAAGAGAAAAAATGCCATCTCCACAGAAATACTTTCTACTCATGCCCAATCTGTTTAAAATTTACATAATGTTTCTTTAAGTCATTGCATAAAATTGACGTGTGGTTTATTAGGAAAGAGCCAAGATGGTTCAAATGTCATTTGAAAATATATTTGTGTAAAATGTTATGCAAACACTGTTATGAACAACATTTATAATTATAGTACAAGGTATATTATAAATGCTAATTTATATATTTTAGGTCAGATGAATGTAAACACAAGGACAGTAAAATGGCACCCTTGTGGCTTGTGTTCGAAAATGGAGATTCTTATGGCAAAAACATATATCTTCTTTACAAATATGGGGACGATCTGCGACAGGACATGCTCACTCTGCAGATGATCCGGGTTATGGATAAAATTTGGAAGGATAATGGAATGGACCTTAGGTAAGTCAACAGCAAGCATTAATTTGCTTAGCTAAACACTTTGCTTGCCCAACCACTTGGGCTGGACGATAGAGCGAGGGTCTCACTTCATGCAGGTCAGCGTTCAATCCCCGACCGTCCAAGTGGTTGGGCACCATAAACCCTGCCCCCTCACCCGTCTCATCCAAAATCTGTAGCCTGATCCCTTCCAAGTGCTATATACCTTGGCACTTTCTCCTGATAGTTTACTTTTTCTTAGCTAACTGAGGGACAAAATATCATCATTGGATAACCATCTAATGTTGAAATGGTGCAGGTGATATTGTGATATTAGTAACCACCATTTGTTAAGTAAGGCTGTATGTACAATAGCAAGATATTTTTACTGTCACACAAATTTGTATAAAGGTAGACAACATTTATAACATTTATCTTCTGCCTTTAACTTTTTATTAAACTAAAAATCACAGAAAATTGATTTATTATGTATTTATCATATTGAACATGGCATATGATAGAGCAATCACTGGCAAACATTTTCAAATCCAAGTCATGACTATATGACAGTTGGTGAGCGCAAACATTACATAATAACCAGGATTTACACACAACATCAGTCGTGATATAAATATTCACAAAAAATTTATTTATTATGAATTCTTCATTTTGACTACAGCATATAATAGGTGATCATTTGTAAACGAGCATTATTGAAACGAAACAAATGAAATGAATTTCATTTCATTTATTTCAGTTATGACCTAATCATAATTCTACCACCTCACAGAATGAATCCCTATGGATGTATGTCGACTGACAATCGAGAAGGCATCATTCAAGTTGTATTGAATGCTGAAACTATTGCCAACATTCAAAGACAGAAAGGCATGTTCTCGGCAACTTGTGCATTTAGAAAAGGATCTCTCTTAGGTAAGGAGTCTTCATTTAATGTTAGCCCTATTTTGTTTGTTATTAAGAGCACTGACTACAATTACAGTAAACTATGAAAATAAAACAGTAAACTTACAGTAAGCTCTTGTGAACCTTTGAGAAATGTTATTCATTTTATTGCTAAATACCTTACTTGGAAAACGTATTTCTAAAGGCCTTAATCTGAGGGTTATTTACCAAACACTTGCATATATTTTGTCACTGCTGTACAGATGGCTTTTGATTTTCATGGGCAACAAATTTTGCACGTGTATATAAAAATTTAGCATGAAACTGGTTACCCGCACAACTCCAAATCTACTTAATGCAATAGTGCATACATTGTGGCCAGCCTTAGTTAAACATTGTCAAGTTAAATTGAATTGAAAATTGAAATGAATTTAAATTAAATTAAACATATGAAGTCAAATTATCTGGCTGGTAAGGTGTGGAAACATGACCTTGATCTTCCTGCCTACCCTAGCTTATCAATACTATATTAACGTGCACTGTTAATATATCTGAAGGAGTCACCTCTTGGTGCAGCATGTCCTCTTGAGTTGCCACAATGGACAAAATGATGTACTAAAACAGCAATATCTAACCTAACCAAAAGACCCCCACACACACACATAGAAAATGTGAATGTTTGTGAGCCACTATGTACACAATATTTTGTTCATTGGGATTTTAACGTCAAAATGTGATGCATTATTCGAGTGGACAGACTGCTCATTGTGTGTCTGATCTTGAAATCTGTTTCAGCATGTTTTTACAAGTGGTTTCCCCTCTGGTTGATACCTGGTTGATGGGGTTCTGGGAGTTCTTCTACTCCCCAAGCCCGGCCCGAGGCCAGGCTCGACTTGTGAGAGTTTGGTCCACCAGGCTGTTGCTTGGAGCGGCCCGCAGGCCCACATACCCACCACAGCCCGGTTGGTCCGGCACTCCTTGGAGGAATAAATCTAGTTTCCTCTTGAAAATGTCCACGGTTGTTCCGGCAATATTTCTTATGCTTGCTGGGAGGACGTTGAACAACCGCGGACCTCTGATGTTTATACAGTGTTCTCTGATTGTGCCTATGGCACCTCTGCTCTTCATTGGTTCTATTCTACACTAAATCTGGCACTAAATGAAATGACAATTGGCCACCAGTGACTCTGGGGCAATTAGGGCTTTCTCAGGTTACATTACCTTGAGGTGTTTTCGGCGCTTAGCGTTCCCACGGCCTGGTCGTTGACCAGGCCTCCTCGTTGCTGGACTGGTCAACCAGGCTGTTAGATGCAGCTGCTCGCAGCCTGACGTATGAATCACAGCCTGGTTGATCAGGTATCCTTTGGAGGTACTTATCGAGTTCTCTCTTGAACACTGTGAGGGGTTGGCCAGTTATGCTCCTTATGTGTAGTGGAAGTGTGTTGAACAGTCTCGGGCCTCTGATGTTGATAGAGCTCCCTCTCAGAGTACCTGTTGCACCTCTGCTTTTCAATGGGGGTATTCTGCACATCCTGCCATGCCTTCTGGTCTCATGTGATGTTATTTCTGTGTGCAGGTTTTGGACCACTGCCTCTACTATTCTCCAAAGGTGGTCAAACTTCTTTTGATTTCGATCTGTTCGATCTGTGCATTACCCAAAAAAATTTCCTGAGGTTTTCAATATGATTATTCACAAATTGGCCTCCCCAGTCCCTATTTTAGCCCCTCATTCCTATATATGAACCAATTCTGGAGTTCCTACATTACAGTGCTTGAAATGCACTTTTTCAAGTGTTTGTCAAGGAAATGTCCTTCAATAATGTATTCACCTAGTTGTGTTTGCGGGGGTTGAACTTTGCTCTTTCAGCCCGCCTCTCAACTGTCAATCAACTGTTTTACTAACTACTGCCCCCCCCCCTACCCCCACACACATAAAAAAAAACACCTCCCCACCCCCACCCACCCCAGGAAGCAGCCCATGGCAGCTGATTAACTCCCAGGTACCTATTTACTGCTAGGTAACAGGGGCATTCAGGGTGGAAGAAACTTTGCCCATTTGTTTCTGCCTGGTGCGGGAATCGAACCCATGCCACAGAATTATGAGTCCTGTGCGCTATCCACCAGGCTACTAGGCCCCTATAGCCTGTGTTGAGGTGCTGCAGTGGCCATGCATCTACACCCTTTCCTGACACCCTTTGAAGTCTTAGTGAATAATATAGGGTTGTTGACTTATGCTTAATAAGCTTAGAGTTATTGATCCAGCTTTCTGCACTACAGTATTTAAGGTTCACCAGGACTACTGAAATGCACATAGCTACCTGGATGGGTTCTGGGAGTTGTTCTATCTCCCAACCCTAGCTCCGGGGCCAGGCTTGACTTGTGAGAGCTTGGTCCAACAGGCTGTTGCTTGGAACGGCCCACAGGCCCACATATCCACCACAGCCTACTGCACGTCTGATACGCTACTGCTGTGTGATTTCCACACCACAGAACCTCTTCATGAAATAGTTCTGTGTTTTTAACCCTTACAAGCTCCAATCACTATCTGGGATTACCTACTGTGCTCGAATCACCAAATGCTACTTTTTTTTTTTTTACATTAGTCTTGTGAACTATTATTTCTTTGTCATGCACACCACAATGTAAGACTTTTAATTAGCTGAGCCATTTAAGGGTTTAGGCAGTTAAAATATCTGGAAATGATTCTAATTTGGGCCCCTCCATCTTAACTAAAGAAGGCCTGACAGATACTATATAAAGATATTATGTGGCATAGTATTTCAGGGAATGAGTAAGTCTATAGCAGTTAATCTATTTTTGTATACTCGAAAATATTTCATGAAATGTTTTAAAGTAATTTGATTTCATAGATATAATATTTGGTATACATATTGTATAAAAAAAATTATGTTATGTGGTTGCTTGTGCAAGTCATTTATGATCACAAACCTAAAATAAAGCACCCTACTTAAAATAAAATAATTGATAAAAGAATTGAACTGTATGTAAGTTTTACGCAATTGTTATCCATAATTTTCACAGCCTGGTTGAAGGATCACAACCCTACTGATGCTTTGCTTAACAAAGCAATTCATGAATTTACACTCTCTTGTGCTGGATACTGTGTTGCTACTTATGTATTGGGTATTGCTGACCGTCACTCGGACAATATCATGGTAATGAAGAGCGGGCAACTCTTCCATATTGATTTCGGACATATCCTTGGTCACTTCAAGGAGAAATTTGGCATCAGGCGAGAACGTCAACCATTTGTTCTTACGCATGACTTTATCAACGTCATTACCAAAGGAAGACAGACGCGCTCTGAAGAATTTGAACAGTTTAAAGGCTATTGTGAGAAGGTGAGCAAGAAACTTATATTTTTGTTTTAATAATTTAATAATAATGTTTTATACAAAATCATCATTATTATTACACAGAGTAATCATACTAATGTGACTGCATCAGTGAGAAAAGCTGTAGGAGCCGTGATGAGGGGTCGAACTTATGTGATGGGTCATCTAGAGCATGTGCGTGGGAACATCCACTGCATAGGTTTGCACCCTCATTACGGCTCATATGGATTTTCTCATCATCATCATCATCATTACATCTTTACCATGTTCACCTTATCATACGCTATGTATCCTCAAGTATAAACAAGCTCCATCGCACTCCAGAAAATTATCCACAGCAGCACCACATCACTTCTGGTGATAAGGTCAGGTTAGGTAGTTATGAGGAGAAAACACTAAGCCAGTATGACTATAAAGCACTTGGCAGTGATATGAAGACAAAGAATCTGAGATTTGACACCGGGAAGGAATGGTGCTCAACCACCTGGACCATCAGGTATTCAGTACCAACATGCAATAAGCGAGGCCTTTCTCTCTCTACTAACCCATTAAAGTTTTTAGGACACGTGTACTGTGCTCTTTGTAGCTGTTGATACTCAGCCATGTGTCCCACTCTATTATCTGTGCTGTTCACACACAGTCACCACTTCTTCACATGCTATTTTATCTCCCTATCCTTCCTCTCACATTTTTGTCATCGAGGCTCTTAACTTGATAAAGTTCAAGGTTCATTTAAACTTAATCGATCAAAGATCAATATCACAAATACAGATAATGTGAAATTCATACCAAGCTTTCTTAATTGTTGGCATACTGTATTGTGTGTCATGTGTGTTATATCATTTTTGACATGACAGTGTATATCAACCTGTCTTGTTGTTGTTGTATTGGGGTCCTTCATTTTTCTTCATACATTGTTAAAGCTTACACCACAGGATGGGAGAATTTGTTCAGTTATATTGTGCTCATCTAGCATACTATATTGACCTGTTCTTCTAATAAATGTATACTGTATCATTGAAATATCTATAAATGCTTAGTAACATTAATTCTTTCTATTCTTTTCAGGCATTTTTAATTCTGCGGAAATATGGCTCCTTCATTATCTCTCTCTTTGCAATGATGATATCTACAGGACTCCCAGAACTTCAGAGTGAAAAGGATCTCAATTATTTAAAGGAAACTTTGGTAAGTAAGCTATTAAGTGTTATAAATGCAGTACAGTAGTTATATTTACTTTTTCACTCACCCAAATTCACATACACTGCTGCCACTATCCACCAGGAGCTCCAGGAACTTCCTTCCCTAAGTGACTGTGAACTCTGAACATGGAGGTTTAAATAAACTCCCAGATTAATGACGATCATGGTAGCCAAAGCCTAAGGGATCCTAGATTGTAAAAAATACAGTTCATTATAAAAGTTCATATAAAATACAGTTTATAGATATGAAAAGATTACAAAAAATTAAAAACTACATAGCAGAATATGGCATATAATCAACAGAGGTTTCTAATGTCAAGTGACATTCTCTAGAATGGGTGGGGCTTTGGAATAAAATAGTGCACCTTAAATCATCTCTAGGCAATTAGAGCATTTAAGCAATTGGAGCTGTGTAAGGGTTAATTAAGCAAAGACTTCAAAAAAGGAAGACCATTTGAACATAGCAGATGAACATTACAAAGGGAATATAGGAGTGAAAAGCAAAAACTAAACAGATCTTTGATCAAGTGACTAGAAAATAAGGAAGCAATTTAAAATGTATTTAAAAAAGCCACTAATAAAAACAAGATGAACATAAAGTGTAATTGGTTGTGGAGATACAGTATTACATAACACTGTATATACATAAAAGATTCTGGAAGATCAATGTCACAAATATGCACAGCAAAATTAACTGAAATGAAAGATATGGTTGGAAATACAGGCTAGACCCAGTGAAGGGTAGAGCTGTCCTATCACACTCAAAGAACATTGTATGAACGTCAGAGACCCATGGCTCTTCAACTTCCTTAGATGAAATATAAAGCTTTGCTGAACATAAGTGGAGAGTTTTGAAGTGGCATTTGTATAAGTTCCTACAGGAAGAGCCAACCCAACCAGGCTGTATTAGATATGTGGGCCAGTGAGCCACTCCAAGAAACAACCTTTCGAATCCCAAAGCTTCAGGCTGGGCTTTGGGAGTAGAAGAGCTCTTGAAACTGAGAATTGTGTTGAGGATAAAGATGGGCACAATAGAACAACAGAACGTGGGTAAAACTGTACATGTAGTGGAAGGCTTAACATCATAAGAAAATATCTCTTGACAAGATAAAAATTGTTTAGGCAGTAGAAGGCAAAAATCATCCTCAAAGGGGAACTGAATGTGACACAAGTGATGAGAAATGCTAGAAAAATACAAGTTATGAGGAAGGTTAAATTGTCAGTATACTTTGACCTTTCCAGAAATTTAAAGGCACTAACAAATACATTCAGACACATACAAAAACACATACATGCAAACACAGATACATACAGCCACATACTTATTCAGACACACACATACAAACAGATACATTCAGATTCATACATACACTTAAAGATACTAATACAAAGATATATAAAACACAATAGCATAGTACCTGGTGTTGTTCAGGTGTAATATAGTCATGATGGCTTAGTACCCTCTCCTAATAATTACCTTACCTTACCTATCAGTGTAACCATTTTTATTGCACATTACGATGTTTACAGTGGTGAAAATATGTATACACAACATATGATCATTAGTGTAACCAGCTTCACTACTGTACACACTGTCTTGGTCATCATGTAGAAAATATGTTGGGTGAACAAATCCACAAGGGCCGTGATGAGGGTTCAAACTTACACCTGGGATGATCCCAGACGCTGCCTAGGCCACGACATGGTAATCTTCCCATGTAGATTTGTTCATTTGGTGCCTCACACTATTGTGATTTCTGTGTGTGTATGTTGGGTGAATGTTGACCAAACCACACACTAGAAAGTGAAGGGACGACGACATTTCGGTCTGTCCTGGACCATTTACAATCGACTTGAGAATGGTCCAAGATGGACTGAAACGTCGTAGTCCCTTCACTTTCTAGTGTGGAGTTTGGTCAACATATTTCTGCCATGTTATTGTGACTCCTCATCTGTTGGGTGAATGTTAGTGAAGATGTGAGTGTTATTTACCTAGTTTGAAACAATTAAATCTTTCAAACACACACACTTAAACATATGACCCCTGACCCTCCACCTCTGCCCACCTGTCACCCTGTAAAATTTGGTGAGGTTATTTCCATCCTTGGACAGACATCTGTACTGTATTATAATAATGGCTTGGTATCTCCCTCATTGTATTAAATTTTACATTATCTTTTGGAACTCATTACAATGGGCATCAGTGCAAGTTTATGCTGAAAGGTTACATTATGGCAACTTTGTCGTTTTATATATTTTGTTTTACAGAAACTGGACTTGTCGGATGATGAAGCTCGGGATCACTTCCGCTCCAAGTTTGACGAGGCGTTGTCCAATGCTTGGAAAACCTCTATAAATTGGGCATTCCATTCAGTGGCAAAAAATAATCGTTGAACATGGCGTATGTCTAGTTCTTTATTTGTTAATTATATTTGTTTACAAATTTTACTTATTAGCTTGTTGAACTTATCCAGCGAATAAAAAAATTGCTCTATTTTAAGGAGTGGACTATTATTGTTAATAAAATTGTGGTGGAAACATATTTTCATAGTAGATTCAGTACATGGCTGGAATATCCATAACTATCATAAGCATAAATGTAAAATTTGTTATTGATCAAATTTCATTGTTGTATGTAAAAAAATCGGCATTGAATGTACTGAAATGCCTCTTCTTTTTTCCGACTGAGCTCCGCTGAAGCTCTCTCACTGAAATGGTTCCCCACTATTGGTTCACATCAGTTGTAGGAGTCTTGTTTGGCCTCCTGGAGACCAGAATCAAAACCTGGCCTCCAGGAGGCCAGTGAAGGACAGTGACACGGGAGCACACTACAGGTTGGACCAACCATATCAGTGACAAAACTGACAATTAGAGCAAGCTGTGGGCCAAGGCTCTGGGGAATCTGGTGGCAGCTATTGGTACTAATGGGTTCAAGCTAGTTTTGAGTGAACCACCTGTTTAGTCTGGTTCATTTCTGGAGTTGCTTAGCCATTTCAATACTTCATTTTCTATGAACCTTGCAGTTGTATATAACGCTCCTCTGACTTTCTGAATGCTTTCCCAACGAGGGTGACGATAATACTGTAATCCCCTGCACCTTTGTGATAGGGCCAGGTTCTGGCTTTAGTTTCCAGTCAGCTAAACAGGGCTCCTGCAACTGATGTGACGTAATAGTGGTGAGCTAACTCAGTGAGACAGCTTTAGGGAGCAACCGAGGGGCTCTTCCCAGAAAGGTACATAAAATATGTTATTGATGCAGCTGTAGTTGACCGTCTGTTGATAGGTCAATCTACTTGGATTCATCAGTACAGCAGAGGCCTCGCTTCTTGCAGGTCAGTGTTCGATCCATGATGGTTCAGAGTTGTTGAACACCATTCCTTCCCATGTCATCTATTTGTTCCCATATCCCTTCCAAGTGCTATATAGCCATAAGGGCTTAACATTTTCCCCTCATCATTACTTAACCTTATCTGTTGGTAAATTAAATTTTGTGGAATGTATAAAAATTGCATGGTGTATCATTATAATCAAGTGTAAAAAATGGTAATGAGAATTGGATTTGTGTAAAGATCCAAAATGTTTTTGGATCCAGTTTTTAAATCTGGAAATTTTTTGGCATATTGTCACTTAAAGAAATATATTTTCAAATGATTTATATGTTATAGAGTCTGCAGACATTTATTAAATGTTATGAATCTAAACTAAGATAGTAGAATTAAATAGCTCATTTTATGTACAAAGTTTCTCATCATATTTTATTCTCATTATTAGCTTTCAAACTATGTAGTTCAATATCACTTTAGAAATTTGTTCATAATGTTTTGTCATTTGCTTCCTGTGTAGAAAAACAATACTCTTATCAATGCAGTTTGTTTTAACTGACAATTCTTGTTCTTTGCAGTAGGAAAGTATGCTTATATCATTGTCGTCATTTGTCCACATGTAAATAGGTATTGTACAAGTCACCGCCATCACCTTTTACCTTTTGAGTTAATCATTCTGTTGTAACTAGATTCATGAGCACATTCATATGCTGCCTGAGAGTGTGGTTGGGCCTCATTTAAACACAAAACCCATTTATGATTCACAATTTTATTTAAATTAAGCAATGTCAGTCAGTTTATTGAACTTTACGAATAATTATTTGTATATTCCCAGGTACAATGTTTTTTGTGTCATAGTGTTTGGTGGTGTTGTTATAAGATGAATGTAGTTCAGTATTTGTGATGTTTGTTCCAGCTCATCATGTTGCCATTTTACTAATTGTAGCCATTACGTTGCCTGTAGAAGCCTGTAGAAGAATTATTCTGTAAAGATCCTCTGGAAAAATGTGTCGGGGAGTTGTTGGGTCCCTGGTGTAATTTATTCTGGTAAATTATGTTTGTACTCTTAAAATTACATACAAATTTGTTATATTTTTGTTGCTACCTAGGTCAAATTTACACTTGATTACAGTATATAGCAACAGGAGATTGCCATGTAGCTTCATTTGGTATATTTTCAATTCATATGTATATTGTGTTATGTATTGCTGGTGTATGTCTAGTTCTTTGTGAAGTTTAAGTTTGGATTTCTGTTCAACTTAACATACAGTACACGATTACTAGATTTAATTTCTTATGGTAATTTGGCTGTGCTCATCTCACATTGTATACAGTTTTCACATTTCTCATTCTCACTAATTCATGGAAAAGAATGAAATTGCCCAAAACTAAACCACAGATTTATAGAAAAGCTTATAAAAATATTATTTTTATCCAATTTGGTGTGAGTATTTGTAATTGATCAGGTCTTTAGTTGTTTAAGGAACATTACTTTTCAACAAGCCAAATGGGGGTCAAGAAGTTGATAAAGTTAAATTGTTGTCAGAGATGTATATTAGCAGTTTTCTTTGACAAAATGCACTTTATAGTTGCATGCATTAAGGGTATGTTACAGAAACATCTTGTTTAAATGTTTATCCTAAAATAAAGATCATTCAGCTAGAGTTTTGTCCATTTTCTGAGGTACTTAGCATAGTAGTTTAAGTAAATAAAATTTGTATTACTTGGACGATAGAAGTGTGTGGTTAATATTGCTTGCCTCACCATACAATTTACTTGTCATTAACTTTCGGTGAAACGTACTTGGCATCATTCCTCTGCTAACTACCAGTGCACACTCATTTCCTTATAAATTTTTGTCCTCTTTGCATTAGACATCTCCACACATTGAACCAAGATTTGGCTAGATATGTTGAACATTTATCATATGTTAATTATTCACATTTTTAATTAGTAAAAATTTTGTTGTCTTATTTGGAAAAAGATATTAAATGATAACACAATTGAGTCTTTAAATGTATGTATGTTTTTTTGTTGGTTCCAATATACTGTATTTTGTTTGTCTCTAAACTCAACAAGCTTTACAGAGCACATCAGTGTTATGTTGAAAGGTTCTATAAACAGAATCATTCAAAATTTGATGTAGCTCAAAGGTTATATAAAGCTGATTCAGAGTATTTCGTAATTTGTTGCAAGAATTAGAACGGTGCTGTTTTGTGGTCTTCCTTTTGTACTAGAATTGTACTACAGGTTTGCATTTGCTTCAAATCCACATACATACAAATGTTTAATATTCTGTAATTATGTAAAAATGTTAGATATTCCAGCCCTGTACCATGGCAACAACTTATCATACACAGTTAAAGGGAGTGAATCTGAACCACTTTATTGTGACAAATGTGGTGCTAGTCACTTGGGCTCTCTTGGTTTGTAATCAAGTCAGCCTTCCACAATTATTTTGTATAAAAGCCAGACATTGGTGTCTATTGTGATAGCTCTATTTACGAGGTGTTGCAATATTAGTACTCTACTGGAACATTAATAATGTATGCGACTGCTACTAGGTGAACAACTGGTATCTTATTTCAATTAGTTGTTATTATGACTAAAGGAATTGTAGGGCAATCTCTTGGGGTTTTCAAACCATGTTCATGCCTTGCCGATAAATTAAGACTGCTTCATGCAGTCCGTCAAAGAAATTGCTGAAATAATTGTTATCCTTTTATTTTCTTCCTGTTAATGTAATAAAGATTACATTTATTCATATTCCTTAAACAATAATAATAATTATTGTATTGCAGAGTATTATTAGTAAATATTATTTGGCTACTTCACAATACAGAGTATTATTAGAGATGTATTATTTTCTTTTAAATGCACCTGTTTAATCATGGTTTTTTGAACTAGTAAAAGTATACTGCAAGTAATTATCAAAAAAAGGCACCAAGCCAGGAAGACTGAAGCACCATCAAAGTTGCAGGACATTCAAAAGGGGCTAAATATAGCCAACCCCCCCCCCCCCCCCCTCACTTTCCAGCTCATTGTTGACATGAGGAGGTTTGGTGGGTATCTGTCGGAGTGCGATTCTCCATGGGACAGCATTTTCTTTGTCCTTTTGAAGCCTTTTATTCCTGCAGCTGTCTACGAATTTTGCTGGGGTACTTTTTCCTTGTCCTCAAGTTTAATTTTTTCCTCTTCATCTTTTCTCCTTTCTGGTTATTCCCTCCTAGCAATATGGTTCGGTTCTTGAATATTCTTTCCATTGTCTTATGTTTTGATGCTGGGCGAGTCGAGGTGGGCACACTCGCCTGCAGAACTGTGGTATCTGATATGGCCTAGCGAGGGGAAACTTTACAATCATTGCTGAGCCCAATCTCGACACCAATGGTTCTTAAGGTGACGATTGTGGGGTGTATATTCACGATGCATCGTTGATATATATATATATATTTACACACACACACACACACACACACACACACCCAGCCACCTTAAGTACTGTACTTGAGAATGAACCATGTAAGTTCGAAATGTTGTGTAATATATATATATATATATATATATATATATATATATATATATATGTCGTACCTAGTAGCCAGAACGCACTTCTCAGCCTACTATGCAAGGCCCGATTTGCCTAATAAGCCAAGTTTTCATGAATTAATTGTTTTTCGACTACCTAACCTACCTAACCTAACCTAACCTAACTTTTTCGGCTACCTAACCTAACCTAACCTATAAAGATAGGTTAGGTTAGGTTGGGTTGGTTACGTTCGGTCATATATCTACGTTAATTTTAACTCCAATAAAAAAAATTGCCCTCGTACATAATGAAATGGCTAGCTTTATCATTTCATAAGAAAAAAATTAGAGAAAATATATTAATTCAGGAAAACTTGGCTTATTAGGCAAATCGGGCCTTGCATAGTAGGCCGAGAAGTGCGTTCTGGCTACTAGGTACGACATATATATATATATATATATATATATATATATATATATATATATATATATATATACACACATACATACATATATTATATATGAATATGTATGATGACCATATATATGGTCATATTCATATAAGTTGTTGAATATGACCGAAAGGGTAAGATTAATATTTTATTTATTTTTTTTGAGATATATACAAGAGTTGTTACATTCTTGTACAATGATTAATGATTCTAACACGAATCTCCTCAATATTTCTTACGTTTTTCAATGTTTTTTCCCAATGTAGCCCCAGCTACATTATGCCCAGATCAAGCTGCTGCTTTGACTCCTAACTAACCCTCCCACCTCTGTGGCAGGGTTAAGCCCAGAGCTCCCAGTGTTGACCACCTTGTCATCAGGAGTGGCTCCATTTCTCATTATGACAACTGTGCCTTTTACATCCTTCCTTAATAGGGAAGCTCGGTACCGTCACATCACTCAAACACGCTTGATTCAGTCTGTCTCCTTCATTCCAGGATTTGTTTAGTCCTGCTAAATAGACTAAGTGTTTCAATCTCATTCATGTTGATTATACACATCTTGATGATTTATTCATCCATGAACACCTCGTTGATTTAGTAGATAACTTTGTTACTTAACCCCACCCGAACTGGAACATGTATAGTTGCAGCCCCTTCTCAAGAGGTAGCTGACTGCTTGGCTATGTTGTCCTCCATTGGTAAGACCCTAGTTTGGATTTCCAAAAATGTCCAGTTAAATGTCATCATTGGCACAGTTATTTTCCCGCACCATGGCACAACTGGTGATAAGGATCTCAAAGACTTCCATGAGGATATTAGATATATCCTTCAGGTTGATACATTCACCCGACCCCTTGTGGAGGTCGTTGTCAGCCTGCGCATAGTAAAAAATCACTTTTGATAGTAGGTCTCTTCTGTAATTGCTCCATTCAGTAGTACATTCCCTCTCCTCACCTCTGTATTAGGTACTAGAGATGTGGACATTGTCCCTTCAAGTGCACAAGTGAGATATCTCTGTCCCTTGTATGGAGTTTCAGGTCATTCTAAGATGGAGTGCTCTTCTCCCCAAGCTCACTGCATAAATTGTTGACACCCACTCTGCCTTCTCCCACACATGTGCACTACAAACTAGAGGAAGCCATCCTCAATTTTAAACATTGCGATTGATTATCTTTCCATGAGGCGAGACGCCAGGTTTGCCATCTTCCCTCTTTCTCAAGCAGGTCTGCATGTGCATTGCATTCCACTTCTCACCCCCACGCCTTGGACCCCAACACCTCCCCGTCTTTTGCTCCTTTGCATTCTGGGACTAAGGGTTTTCCTTATAGTTCCCTGCCTGGTGTTTCTTCCCTTCCCCGTCTCCTGTGCCCCCCGTTAAAACGTTAAAGATTATTTAAAAATACATGGTTGGAAGTTAAATCAACTCCATAGAACAATATTTTTGTTATAGGTACTAATCGTTATTTGTTGGTATGCGTTCGCTACTTAAACTATCATGTACTGTATTTATGTAAAATCTCCCTGTTTCTTCGGACATGGAACACGGAACCTTACACGCTCTCTGATTTACTGTTTAATAGAGATTCAAATAAGCTTATGATTGTATACGTTATCAAAAAGGCAGTGACAAAGTCAATTTTGCATTTTAATCACAGAGATTAGATCTTAGTGAGATAGGAAAGATATTCATATTTTAAAGAAGGATTTTTGAACCATCGCTCTCCCTATCGATAGAAACTAACTTTTTTTTTGTTATTATTAACAAGCTTAGGTATACACAGTAATGTGCTGCTACCCTATTCTATATGAAAGATTACACAGTGTATATCAAAAACTAGCTATAAGTTCATTAAATATTCCCATCTCACAGGATGGTTAGTTATACATGGAATCAGGGGATAACATACCAGCCTCAATAAAAAAAAAAATCAAATGTGACTAACAAGAACACCACTTACGGGCTATTCATGCCCGTGCTACCTTTTGGGTGGCTTAATCCTCATCAATCAATCACAAGAAACAAGGGATACATCATAGGGGGCTATTCATTACCTGCAGCCACCTGCAATACATATCGATATCCTAGCCTAATTCTGGCAATTACAATGTCACACTGTCATTGTGACACTAGTGGAAGTTTTATGCTGTCCGTTCATATAATTCTCGATTCTAAACATGTTTACTTAGTTTAGTTCATTAATTATGCACCCCATATATCATCTTGTGGGCGGTAGTGGAAAAGGTTACAGAGGCACATAAACATGTCATAGCTCTTTATACTCTTGCTTTCTGGCTTTTGTGTGTCAGTGACTGCTCTTCTGTCTTCCCTAATTTCCTAAAATATTGCGGCTTTGACAGAAGAGATTGGAATGCCCGTATCCCACTCAACTTCAGGCTTATCACATTCAGTTTTAGCTGCCTTGTTTGTGTCATCATGCTGGACAACACCTATATGAGATAAATCCATCCAATCCATACAAATGAGACTTTGAAACTCCTACTGTTTGCAATAATAATGTTGTTTATAATAGATGTTACAACTACAACCTTTTGAAGATCAATGCTAATTTTATCTAGATAATGTAATAAACGAAAGTTTTCTATGTCAACAGAAAGGCAGAAATATAAGCTACACTTGAAATACTTGTCATAAATATAACTGAAGTGAAAGCGAAGATATATGCATTTGATACTGTACAGTTTCTTGATGGCTTGCTCTAAGAGTGTGAAGCCCTTCACACCAGCCTATAAATTGTGTAATTTATTTCCATATATGCTAATTAACCTTAAAATCTATATGTCAGAAGGAAGGAAGATGTAGACGTTAATGTGACAACATTTCAAGAAATATCTCTCTTTTAAAGTTAAATAATACAATCCTATCGCCGGTGTCCGGACACATGAAAGCTACTTAGGTATCAGTGGCCAGCCAGGTGGAGATCACAGGCTGTACAATACTGATAAATTATGTAATTCACAGATACGTTGATAAATATTAATGTTTTATATTTTATTAAAAATACAGATATATACTTTGTTTCATACGTTAAATGTAACAATATTTCAGTATATATTATATAAGCATAGTATATATAATTCAGTATATACAATATATAATAAGAGTTTACAGTCTCCGTGGTGTAGTGGTAAGACACTCGCCTGGCGTTCCGCGAGCGCTATGTCATGGGTTCGTATCCTGGCCGGGGAGGATTTACTGGGCGCAATTCCTTAACTGTAGCCTCTGTTTAACGCAACAGTAAAATGTGTACTTGGATGAAAAAACGATTCTTCGCGGCAGGGGATCGTATTCCAGGGACCATAGGATTAAGGACTTGCCCGAAACGCTACACGTACTAGTGGCTGTACAAGAATGTAACAACTCTTGTATATATCTCAAAAAAAAAAAAAAAAAAAAAAAAAAAAAAAAAAAAAGTGTCAGACCACGGATGAAGAATTGAAACAGGAATTTCCTTTAGTACTTTCTTATATTAATACATCTTCAGAGCGAACCACTCCTTCTGAAGATGTATTAATATACGAAAGTACTTAGAGCATTCTATTGTGGTTTTAATATTGAACAATTATACATATACGAAACAGACAAATCTGGTGTCCGAAATAGTAAAAATATTAGTGTGCGATGTGATCAATGTAAGGGGGATATTGGGTGTGCCTCGTATCCCCTACAACAACAAGAAGTTCGAGAGCGATGAGGCCGCCACCTATTAGCTTCAG